TTGGTCACTTACACATATACAGTAAAATATATCTACTTGTACGGTCTGTTGACTAGAGCAATAGAGACTACACGTCAGGTACTGTACCGCTAAGCAGATTGTACGGGGGCCCCAATGAAGTTGACAATTCCACCAGGAAAAATAATAATATATATATATATTATAGAGTCTGAGATACAAGATACAGGGTTTCAGGACTTGATCTAACCGATCCACGTAGTATCGAGCAAGACCGCGTAATTGGCAGCCCATTCAGACTGGTTATGATTACCGTACTTACAGTACTTGTAAATTATTTTTTTATCCGTGGCATAGCCTGAGCACACACTGTATGCTTATGTAATAAAAAGAAAAAGAAAAAAACAAATATTTAATGCCGATGCATCCCCATTCAAAGAAAACAGCCAAATAATCTATAATCATAACCACGTCAATCAAGCGAGTTACACGTGAAGAAACCAATTTTGAAAGCCAAAGCTTTTAAAACACTACCAATATTTCTGATTAGGTTTAACAATTTCCCTAACAACCCTGTATCTGCCTCATACTCTTACAAATCTCGAAATGCATGTCGTACCACTTTTTTAGTTTGTTTTATACATAACTCAACCGACTCGCTTCTAAGAAGTCTATATAAGTATTAAATACCAATATTCATATTTATTTTATGATACAGTATTGCTTAAAGCAGCAATGGATATAAAAATAAAATAACCTTTGTAACTGGAAATAATGAAACGCTACTCAAGAAAAAAAAACTTTCCTCACGTGTCAATAACACGTTCCACAGAAAGTTATTAATGTTACCCTTTTGTAATATGCTTTCATTAATAAGATTAAGTCTCAAAACTAAAGTATGTCGTAGCATTTAGTTATAATTTGATTATTCACATTGTACAGATCTATAAATAGAGGATCGCTACAGTACATGGTTATATCGTGCCACTGGATCGTTTTTTCCTATTCATCAGCTCTTTCTGTCTGCATCGTTTATCAGATATACATAAAAATATATTGCCAGATCTTAGTTATTTACACATGTGACGCAAATGTTCTGCATTATGTTTGTGCAGATGTGCGTGGCTGTGTCCCAGACCGAGAGAGCAGTGTGTTTGTCTGCGGGCGTGTCAGGGTTTAGATGATTATTCACCACATACTGTGTTATATTTTTTTCTCAATCCCCGCGACCCAGTCTAAGCCCTCGCCCTTTAAGTGATTTTTTTTTTCTATTTAATTTGCTTAAAATGTCACGCCTTTGCCCTGTAGTCTGCTTTTGACTGGCATCCAGATAATGTGTTTTAATGTAACAAGAACGTACAGTTGGGCCTCTCTGATAGATATAAGAATACAGTGAGCAACATGTGAAAAAGTGTATTTTAAAAAATGTGTTAAATTAAGCTGAAATAACTCGCTCTAACCCCTTCTTGTGTGACCAGTACCCATGGATTCGTTATAAGCTTACGTGCGTCATTTGTGAACCGTACTTCGTATCGCTGCAGAAATATGGTCATTTTCATACCCACGCACTGCACCTCGCCACCGTTTATTTCATTAAGAATAAGTTTATTCCAAATATTCCAATAATGCATAAAATAGCACACAAACAAAGCCCACCAATAAAGTGGATCCGTTTCCATTAGATGCAAGGCTCACGCTATGAAAAACTAAACCCAGTCTCAGTCTAAGTTTAGCAGGCTGGACTTTGCAGCAACACAGACCGTACCCGCACTGCACCAGAAGAGATGTTGTTCTTTATATAAAATGAACGCCAATATATGAAAAATCTGAATTAGCTCTGTCTAGGCGGATTTCTCCACGCGCCAGCTTGAGAATGGCTTAAGTTGCTGTCCAAAGTCAGCGCACCGAAGGTATGGAAAGGAAAAAAAAGTTTTTGACATTTTGTATATATTTGTATATAGATTGTATGCACATGCACACATACAAACACGCTCAGGCACACACTCAGCCACACACGTTAATTTGAAGTTCTAGGCGATGACATTATATATACATTCAAAACAAGACCTATTATTATTAACCAATATATATTTCAATATGCCAAATAAATATCACATTCTATTGCAGACGAACGTCTTTTTTTCCGTGGCATAAAGACATCGTTAAGCAGTATCTCCTGTAGTTCATGTTTGTTTAAAAAATATCTTTTGAAAGATAACATACCAACAAACAAGGCAAAGATTAACTGCCTGGAAGGACTCCTAGTGTTTTTTTTTGTTTGTTTTTTTGTTAAGATGTTTCAAGTTAGATCTCTGACTACTGCACTGAGACGCGTTGCCCTGGGTACAAAACTTCAGCAGAAAACATGCTCAACACAGGTATTACCCCATCTAGTGTCTGGATTCTGACACAACAGCAGGGATCGTGCGGATGAACAGTACTTGTAACTGGAAACGTGCAGCAGAAACTATTCTGGTTAGAAAAAAAATCCCAAACTATCGATGCTCAGTGTCAGAAAGACGGTCTTAAAGTGGTTTAAAGAGCACTGCTACCTCGCTTTTGGTGGACACAAAGAGCACAGTCCCAGTGTCACCCGCCTGCAAACTGGGCTCTCTTGGTACCACATGGCAGTGCTCGGTGACACTCTGCCAGTCTCCTCACCACTGCTCAGCACCATGAAACAATAAGGAAATTGGGTATTCGACAGTTAACGTTTTGCTCTGTTGGTGCCCAATTGCATTAGCCTTGAAAATAGTGCCCATTGCGCAAAGACCACGAAAACAGCCCCAAGTGTCGGTTTAGAACTAGGATATTTAATCTCTATGCTGCCTTCTGCCTTGTCTTGACTTAATGTCCTCTGTACTGTTTCAGTCACGTGGAAGCTTAAGTCTAGTCAAAAGAATTCTGTTACATATCGTTATAATCAAATGCGTCATTTATTGTATGCATTTTTAAATATCAGTCAGCACATGCCCTAGCAACATAAGAACTTAGCTAATATCAATCTGCACCCCACACAAACTATTCATGTTAGGTCAAAGGTCACACTGGGCACTTTTCACCCCGTCCTATTCAATACGTTTCCTATCATCATGTGTCTCACACGCCCCCATTTCTTTAAATCTTTAACCTCTTACGTTGCTCCTCATTCAAGCATTCTGCACTCGGAACTTTACCCATGCAAGTAAAATCTTTCCACTAGAAGTATTACATACACTGCTTGCTAATGGACATTCTACAAAAAAAAAAAATGAAACTCTTCATGAATCTGTACTTACATGCATTTTTTTAAAATGAAGACTTCTTAAAATATGTCTGTACATTTTTAAAAATGGTTCCAAATAGTGGAAAATTATCTGACAAACAGAGATAGGTAATCCCTGTGAGGAAATTCTCTTTGCCCTGTCTTGCTTTCCATACTGGTGAGAACAAATTTGGGGGCCACAGCAAAGAGACAGCCACCTTGCAATGCCCAGAGAGCGGGGGGGCATGGGGGAATTAATGGCCTTGCTCATGGGTCTATGAACACATGACTACACTGTCAAGGCCAGGCTTGAACCCCCAACCTTACAATCACAGGCATAGAGGCTTAGCCCACTGAGTCACACACCTCATTATGACACACACACATCAGAATCTGTGGCCGTTTTGTAATTATGCATCTGAAACTTGCCAAATGTAACTGTAAATACCAAAGTTTAAAATATTGTGAGAGCAGAGTTCTAAGCAAGGGTGGCTATGTAACTGAAAATGTTTTAAGAAGATCACAAATACCAGGCCTAGTTAAGAGGTGGAGTTCTTTGGAATAGGCTGCCTGTGTCCCTCTCCATGATTTGGGACAGTGGAAGAGGCAGATATTTTACTCTAACCAGCCTCACCTGTACAATTTGCCTGAATTGATCCAGGTGGACTTTGAGTAATTGTGACCTGTTGAGCTGGATTGTACTCTAAAGCAATCTGTTGTGCTTTGACTTTTAAAGCACAAGACAGAATATTTGTGTGTCTGTATGACTGACTTGTGTAATCAAGGCAGCTAAGTATATGAGGCCAAAATAATCTCCGACTAGGCAGCTTGGTAACAATTTCGACTCCAGGCTTCTGAATATCCAGCTAATAACACAATTTAACTAGGCATGATCTAACTAGGCAGGATCTAAAGCTGAGAGGTTGCTCGGCTGCCGTTTAAATGTGTTTGTCAACGAGCAGCGATCTTCCCATTTTCTGTTGCAAGCCATAACTCCCCCATATTACAGAATTCCAGTGGTAAGAGTTTAGTAAGTAAACTCAATGATTAGATGTCACTGCGAAAAGCAATAAAATATCGTCTTTGGTGAGGCCTTAGCCTTTTGAGATTTGTAATTTACTGAGAGAAAAGTCTCATACATCAAAACTCCCAGTAATTACCTCTGATAATCTTTTGTTCTGTTATCCCCAATCTGCACTCTGCATCAAATAGCTCTGGGAGTGGATGAATATTATTCCTCATCAGTTTCGTTTCTAAAATAAATAAGTGTACTAATGGTTTCATAGTTACAGTTACTATAAGCTTGGTTGTGACATATTTGACTTTGCAACATCTTAATACAGAAGATCTCTAGAAAATGTCACATTAACAGAATATAATATATATATAAAGCTGAGATGGCATGAAATTTAACATACATTATGAGCTAAGAGAACTGCCACACAGCAAATCAGCTACACTCACAGCCCAAACATTCTTACATACTTACATATGATTATTCACCTTAATAGCTAAATCTGGCAGATTTACTGCAGAGACACTCGGTAACACCCTAATATGATAAGGTGTAAAGGAATGTGAGTAAGATATCTGTAACAAACTTAATAAATAATGTAAGTCATATGACAATTTTAAGCAGACTGTTTCTGGATGTTCATTGGGCAACAGAAATGTTCATTTCAAGTGTTTTTTTTTTGTCAACCCATGTTAACAAGCATTTATTGCAAGCATTAAACAGCTCACGTGATTTTTCATGGCAGGCTGACAGCAGTCTGCCATGACGACATTAAGTCGGACATCGTGAAGCCTCTTTACAGCGAAGGATCAAGGTGTGCTCACAAAAAGCCACCTACCGATGCTGCTTACGAAATCAGTCGGGAAAATGCCGGTTTGCTTGTCCCAACTGTGTTTCGGGACACGCACCTCCCACATTCGCTATTTCGCGTCAAAACCGAACTGTGCCCGAATCTGACCGAATCCGGTCGAATCGTTCACGCGGGCAAAACGGTACGGAACAACAGCAGCTTCCGTACACGGCGGGTCTCAGAGCGCGGAGTCTGCTGTTTCAAGGAGTCCCGGGAGTTCTGCCGTCGGCCACTGCGAGCGGTAAACAGAAAATTAATTTCCCTTTGTCGGTGGAAAGCTACCTTTTGGCTTAAAGGCCGTGTTTCGTACGTAAGTGCGCTCCGCTAGACATAAAAGCCTACACTGTCCGCATGAAGGCGAACCGGCAAAGAGCCTCTGAAGAGGATCTCACTACAACGCGGCCAAATAGTGCCCACGCACACTCAGATTTATACAAAAGATAGGCGGGAATATACAGCACTTTCCTGATACCACAAGACTATAAGACCCCTATGTCGTAATGCCTAAATTGTAGCACCTCACGGTAAGATTACATTTACAAAAAAATCGCCAGGATTTATTACACGGATTTAAGGGTAAGGGGGTGTCTCGAGAGTGCGTTGAGTTTGAAACGCGCTTGTGTGAAACAGCACGTGTGGACAGCGGTGTAACCGGTTCACTGTGACCGTAGTACTCTGCTTAAGTGGGGCTGGGGTGAACAGTCATCCCATTTAAGCAACCGAGATCGTTAAATTCACACTTCACCCTTCAGAGCCGCCGCTGTTCCCATAAACGTATTAAATAGGATTACGTCAAACAGATCACTCACACAAGACGGGTTTTCTGTACTCCGTATACCAAATGAAATTCATTTAAGAAATTTGCTGCGATTAAATACTTATTTCGACTACACGATTTGTACGGCTGTCAAATGTAACCCCAGTGACACTTACCACGGCTATTTCTCACATCACAAAAAAGCATGGCTGATTGGCTGTGTTGACCAAAACTACGCACCAAGGTTTTATGCCCAGCTTTGCACAAACTCACTGATCTACCTACTACTGACTCATCCCAGGAACCTTCAACCCCTATGTCAGATGGAGTAAGGTGGGTTTCTCTACTTCTTGGAATGTGATGCTGGGCTGAAGGTGATAATCACCACGAAATGCCATACCCTTTGGTAATGTAGGTTTTCTAGCCACTCGGGTGATCCAGTGTTACTGGGCTCTGTGTGAAATCTTGAGAAAAACGAAACAAAAACAACATTCAGCATTCCTATTACCCATTTAATAAGATAAATTTGCCTTGGCATTGACTAACAGTAAGCTTTTTTGTCTTTATATAGGTCAAAGCCTAAACAGGATAGAAGCCATTTTCCCCCATATTTATAAAGTCATAATATATATAACAAATATCTTAAGAATTATTATCGTAGTGAATGAAACACTGAATTTTTCCATGGAAAATCAGTGCAGACCCGCAGTACAGAAATAGCCGATCTTAAATCACAATGGCAAACGCTCCCAAGTTTTAATCAGTCGCAACAGCAGTTTGATGGCACTAAATTGCGTCATGGGCCCTGAAATTGGTGCCCTCTAACGGAAGGTGTCTCCTTTTTCCTGATCAGCATATGAAAGTTAACAGTTTACAAACCTACAATGTGTCTCTTCTCTGCCCAATGAGAGGAACCTAAGTAAAGTTTAGGACCTGTCCCCATTCTTTAGTGGGTCAGGCATTAACAAGTCCCAGCTGAGGCCAGTGGTGTCCACAATTCTCCCCCCAGAACTCCAGAGCTCAAATTGACTAGCAAGATGGATCCAGGGCACACCAGAGTGTGCACCTGTGCACCAAGACAGAACACATGCATCTTAGTCTCACCCAGTCTGGATATGTCTGATCTGACTGGGAAATACATATGGATTTATAAAAAATAAGCACCCTTGGATGTTAAAAATAAAAACACACACACACACAAATGCAGACTTTGATGTGCAGCCCTGCCAACTCGTGAAACAGCTCCTCCTGCTGGTCACCAAACGTGGGAATTATTATTATAATTTGACATACAGGAGATTTTACACCTTCCTGCAGGCTGCAACCAGACAACTCCACATTGTTTTTTTTTTTTTAAAAGAAATCTAATCTAATTAAAAGAAGAACGTACAAAAACAGGATGTCAAGGCTATAAAATTGGTCACCAAAGGCAGTTAAATTTGAGTTATCCAACAAATACAACACAATAAACGAAAATAGATCAGGCAACTGAGCCCTACCAAGGCCCAAGGAAGCCATATAAATTTACACCGGCCCTCCCAAAGCAATTAAAAAAATACTATAGTACAGTATGGCACAAAATCCTATCCTCCTCATAGTACAGTACTTTTGTTGTTTTATTGATTAAGGAAGTGGTAGTATTTTTGGCATTACTATAGTACTTTTTTTGGATAGGGTCAGGAGCCCTCTATACTAATGACACAGGCTGTGTGTGTTCAGAGACGAGGTGAATGTGTTTGAGTAGCGAAAGCCAAGATTTTGCTCCAGTGCAAACAAAAGCCAGCTAGGGCTATCAGACCTGACAAGAAAACAAACAGGCAACAGGCCCAAAGCTTGGCGATAATATTTGAAATAAACAACTGATATTTTCTCACCTCCCTGCGTGATCTGATATAGATACACCTCTCATTGTGCTTTGCATTTTAAACGGCCTACTTAATCAGTGAAAATACTGGATTCCACAGTGGTGTCGATAATTAAACAAGATTGCTGCAGACGCTCAACTAAAGATACCATTACCGAAACCCTCGAGTATCAAAGAGAGCTTAACCATGCTAAACCATCTGTCCTTAAACTTAAGGTCGCTTTATTTCCTTACGGGTGCCCCTTGCGTGATGAAAACTCATCAAACAAGTACGAACAGCGTACGGCCGCCATCTACAACATTGTAGCTGAAGCCCGCTTACGACCGGATAGAACAAAAACAGAAACCATTAGCAAAAGAAATCAACAGGCTCAGTCCGTGTGGTAAACTGCGAAATGACCTGAGGTATATATTTCCAAAAGAGAGAACCCTGTGTTGCACTGAAAATGTCCCCTGTGGCAGGGAGGTTTGGCAGGGCAAAGTGGGTGAAGGAATGTGAAGCAAGAGTGAGACTGCTGTAAACCAGGACCGCGCCAAAATAAATGAGTAAATAAAAATCCTGTGTTGGTATTCCAGGAACACTGAACTAAGCTTATCGACATATTGTGGTAATACTGTAGAGTGAACGTCAAAAGGATGAACCTTTAGCTAGCTTTTAAAGTAGAGTTATTACTGTTCTGTTCTCACAAACCCTTTCCCAGGCATTAGGTTAGTTAACATTTAAGCTTTTAAGTTATGCGCGATTTTAATTTTTTTTTCCCTGTGTTGTGATTTGCACTGGAGTAAAACTTTGGAAGCTATTACTAATGTCCTCTGAAGTGCCAAAAAAACAAAATAAATACAAAAGAATGCATCAAAATGAAATAAAAGATTATTGAGTTGACGACAGCTGCTGAGTTGAAGAGCAGATGTGATTGGTGTTCATGGGGAGAGAGCTGTCTCGTATGATTGGTGGCTTTGGGAAGGGGGGGCGTGGCCTTGGCTTGGTGACCTCAGAGTAGTGTGGCGTGGTCTGGGTCTGCTGTATCCATGCTGGCCAGGATGGCTTTCTGGTCCTCCCGGGGCGGTCGGCGGTACAGCAGAGCGGAGAAGCGAGCGTACGGGTCCTGCCTTTTCTTCTTCTTGCGGAGGTAGAGAGCTTCTTCGGGCTGGAGTACCTGAGAGTCACGGAGCTGCTGGGTCTGGGAAGTGGACACACCTGGGGTGGACAGCGACAGTGTGGTCACAAGAGGAGGATAGCCAGGCATCCAAAAATACGAGGAACGTGCCAAAGAAGTCTGAACCCCAGAAAGGGTGCCGTCGATATCCCCTCAGGTGAGAAATTTCAGCATTAAACACATGTAACATATGAAGTGCTAAGCTAGGTTAAAAAGCATGGCAAAAATGACGCGACAAAAGAAAACCAACAAATACATGAAAACAGAGTGTAAAGCTGGGCTGTTCAATCACAATATGAATCGCAGGGTTTTAATAAGATTAGAGAGCCCGAGACATAGGTGAACTAAGCAGCGTCATTGGTCCCAGAGGCCACCAGGGGGCCGTACACATCTGATCAGCCTTTCAGAATGGGAAGGAAGATGCAAATGACAACTAGGTTAATAAAATTTTGGTTAGAGTTCTGAAAAAGGCTGGGCCTGTCCTGTTAGAGTGAGTAAAGATGTTGAGTTAAAGCCCAATAAGCTGTAAGTCAGTCTTAAACTTTTTCCTGGGCCATTTTAGCAAAAACACCTGTGCACATGCATCAAAGGCAGCGATACCGACAATGTGCCACAGCATCATCCCGGGTCGAAATCAGCTCAAAATAAGTCAATATTTGCAAAAGTCAGCCTTCATCACTCACATCAGAGTAGAAAGAGTTTCAAAATGGTGAGCGGAGGAGCAGAGACCTTATGAGGAGAAGCAGGTGTAACATTCAGCGTTAAACTATTAAGCTTTACGAGAGCTGTTTCCTATCCGCATCCCCCGGGATGGTCATTGCAGTATGCAAAAGAATTCCAACCACAAACTGGCCAACTCTAGACCTGGACTCTACTGCCCTCAGATCTCAGAAACATCAGAAAGGGAGGCAGGTGACACTATTGTCGGTGCTTGGGTGGGGGCTTGAATGACCATCTGTGCCCCACCCAAAAAGAAACACCCCAAAGCAGCTACAAAAGATCTGCCTACTAGACAGGGGTATGGCCCTGCATTGGCATGGATAGTCTACCCACTGCTCAGCTTTTAAACAGTTAACATTAGTGCCCCCTTGTGGAAATCTTGGGTCTGGCCATTAGGTTTGTTCTGGCACCGACACTAACTCCTTTCCTTCCGTTCATCAGATTTTATTGCCACCCATACCACATGGAGAGAGTTATGGTTAGCAGATATGGAAACCATTTTGTATTCCTCAAAGAAAGATAGCTTCAGATCACTCTTTGGCACTAGGAAGAGCAGAAAGATCTGTGCAGTGCTATATTCAGCCATAAATGCTCATGAAAGAGTTAAACTGGCAATGAGTGAAAGGTGAATGGCAGTTTTGATGACATGATTCATGAGGACAGATTTTTAGGTTATCCGTTCCAGTGCTGTACAGCTGGAGATAATACAGAGTTTATCATGACACAGGTCTGGGGTCACAGTTAGATTTTTGGTGGTGAATGGGGGGCAGGGAGGGATACATGACGCCATGTGAAGCGCTTCACGGGGATTACTACGGCTAGGAGGAAGCAGTCTGAGATAATACTACCTTCTCACACCACAGTGGGGTGCTGCTGGGAAGTCAGAATCACCTGGTGCAAATATACAATCTGATTGGGGCCTGCAAGACAGGAAGTGCCCTATTAATCCCAAACAAGATGTGCCTGCTGGCAGCGATATGGCACAATTCTTACCTCCAGCTGAATAAAGGGCACAAAACACATTTTGTGGATGACAATGTTCAAAAATCATAAATGTTTTGCAGCAGCTGACAGTGCTCGCTTGTATCAGGAAAATCAAAGATGTGAAATCTGACCCCATGTAGTTTGCAAAATGATACACTACGCTTGGAGGTTCGAAATCAGTGTTAGCTGGAGGAATGAGCAGCTGTCTTTCAACTGATGCCCCTATGAAAGGCTGCCAGAGTCGGTATGAATGTACCAGACATGCTGTAATCAGACAGGCTATTTTACATTACAGCACATCAAGTGAGAAAACAGGGTTAGGCAGTTCCTGGAACACCTGGAGGTTGAGGATCTTGCTCAAGTGCCTAACAGTGAAATTACTCTGCTGACCATAGGATCTGAACCACTGACTTTCCAATCACGGGTTCAGTGTCCTAACCTACTGAGCTACACACTTATAAATAATGTTACAGTGACATATCCGGTCACAGACATTTTGTAATGGAAAAGACTACACCACACTCACCTGCCTTCTTTCTGAACTTGGAGTTGTTGTTGTTGATGGTCACCTTCTTCCCTTTTTTAGCACGGTAGAATCTAAGTGCTTCCAACCTCTCAGACCCTGCAGGGGCACTCGATGCACCTTGACGTTTTCTGCAGGGAAAAAAAAGATGAGAAAAAGGTCAACAGAAGACCAGGCTCTGCATAGATACCTTGGGGTCCAAAAATTGTATCCTCTAGACCCAAAATCGGCAGTATCTGTACATCATTAGACACGCCTATGGTTATCTCCAAATCACCCTGAGCTATCGCATTCTTTGCTCAAACCGCAACACTAGTCAGGCACTGTCTTTATTGATGTTTTACTTTCATTGTGAAGAAGATGAGAAGGGAAAGAGATGTCTTGCGATTTTTGTTCATGTAACAAGTTCCTAGTTCACTTTTCTGATTTTAACGTGGTTTGGGTGATGTTACTAAATCCATTTTTCTTTTAAAGAAAAAACGGAACTGCATTAAGTAGTAGTATGTAAATAAGTGTTGCATCAATATCCTCATATGGGTATTTGTGAGTCTTTCTGCACCCACATTGAACTAAATCTGCAGTCTTCCTGTCCGGATTTGGAGGCACTGTTATTAGCTTTCTTCGAAATTCTGATAAAAACGCACAAGGTTTTCATGAGGCACGAAAAACAACGGAAACTGTTATATGGAGGCTGTCCTTCTGCAGCGGCTGTGAAAAGAGAAACCGAAGGTCATTAGTGTGGGGGAGGAGGGGGGGAACACAGCTGAGCCACAAAATCATCATCAATATGTGTCCATAGACATGGATATCGTCTATAATGGGCTTCACCATGCTGACAGGGGGAAGAGATGGCGGGAGGGGTGATGGCTACTCAGGAACAGTCGCATAAAAAAAAAAGCAACCAAGGCACTCGGACAACAGATGTAACAAGAATTTATTCTGAGATTTGTCATTTTTTTGGAACTGAAGAGCAATATTTAGCAATGGCATGCATGGCGTTTCGCACATGGAACAGGACTTTAAAGGGGAATACTGCTCTCAAGCACTTCCTGTTGCCGTCATGCAATTCCTGTTGTCGCTCAAGTCATGGCATCGCTAGTTTTGGAGGGACACTCGCCTGGCATTGCTTTTGAAAGGCTCGGCTGTTCTGCAGTCTGATGGGAGATTTTGAAACGCAAGGACTTTCCAGATGTCTGAGACGGAAGTGCTGTCACGTTGTCCACTTACAGTCAAGGGAAGCTCAAACACCAGTATTTCAAAGCTGTGAAGTTATCAATATCAATGTAAATCTTATCAGAAAAGATAAGATTTGCACCTGGGAACATTTTGGTGTTTACATTAAACAATATGCACAGCGTGAAGAACTTTGCGTAATAAGCAATATCCAAAACAGTGTCCCCTTCAATTGGGTACATATATATATATAATTTTTAAAGCATCACAGATCTGTGTTTATTCAAGACTGCAGAACCCAAATGCGCACTTGGAACGAAATAACTTCAATCACTGCTAGTAACCTGTCTAAACCACATCAGGCTATACCCAAAGACTCGTATTCCCCTTTAAAGGAAAAGGTGATTAAAAGCCCCACCTGCTGCCCCCCCCCTTTCAGACATGGATCCAACCCTTACCTATTGCGATGTAGAGGACCTGGTCACAACAACGCTGCCCAGATAGCTGAGATCAATCAAAAACAAAGCAGGTAAGACACCCCGAGCAATCAGAATGCCCAATTTGTCCCTAATTAAGATGATGGAGACATTGCAACAGATGAGAGTTCACAGTCCCTGCAACGTGGTTTGGCCAATAATCTCCTGGGGTTTCCTGGGGATGAGGTGGGAGAGGGGGATTTTTTTGTGGAGATGTGGGCATATGATCAAATCATTAAAGAAGAGGAAGCTCCAAGCCCCCTTCCCTGTGCTTGATAGGGTGTACACTCCTTAAGCACCCTCCACATCACATCATGTAGTAGGTGTCCTAAAAAGCCTGGAGTCAGTTGTAACAAGGAGCACCCTTTAGCCTGAGAGCGCTCAATTCAGGGTCACTTGTAGGTTTCCGCCTGTTGGGTGAAAGAGTAAAGGAAAAAGCATGATGAGGAATGGAAGAGAAAACTGGGATCCTGTGGTGACCCCCTTAGGATTCCAGGCTTTTTAGGGACCTGTGCTGGTCTGGACATCCTTCAGGTTTGTGCATCCTCTGAATTGACATGACCCAGGCTTTTAAGCCAAAGACCTCGACCTGAGTCACATGATTGACACTTGATCTGTGAAGCAAAGGACTGCTTTCACCTGGGGACTAACGTTCATCTCAGAAATCAGCTCTGAGGTCTTTCTGATCGTGTATTCGGCGGTGGCCGAATCTGTCCGAATGTCTGTCCCCAGGTGAGCTTGTTGCAGTGCTTCATAGATTTCATGGATGGATGTTGGAAATTGAATGTTTGACAGAAAAAGCAGCAGGGACTGGAATATATACAGCCCAACAAATGAAGACCTCTATGTTAAATGGTATGGCGTTGTGTGACATCGGTGCACAAACCTTGGCGAATCTGACTAGAAACATTAGACAATTTTTATGTTTCAATATAGTTACTAATATATTTATATACAGTATTTGTTTAAACAATTACTGTACAACCCTAGTATAGCACAGAAGAGTTGTTTTCAAAGGTTTAAACCTCAAGCTGACTCACTAATTAGACCAATTTTGAATGGGGTAGAAGATAGAAGACTTCTTCTCTGGTGGTCAAGAGTTGTTTTCCGGGTGACAGCCTATTGCACCTACCCTGAAGCTGACAACTGAGGTGGAGAGGGCTCAGATGGAAGGATCTCCTCGTCTGTCCTCCTCTGGGATGGCATCTGCCCAAAAACGTCGCTGCTTTCCATGGGGGGTGATGGGGACTGGGACGGATAGCTTGTTGCAGTGGAGGCGAAGGCCATGTGGGAGCGGTAGCTCGGGCTTGCCCGCCTGCTACTCTGGCCCTGGGCGGGTGAGGAGGAGGGAGAGGACCTCTGGGAGAAGCTGGCTGCGGAGGGGGGCTGCAGGGTGATCTCCGACATCTCGGGAGGTATGGGGGGCTGGATGATACTCGGACGGGGCCGGGGGCGCACTACAATCTCTGGGGAACCGTCCTGTGAGCTCAGAGGACTCTGAGTCAGAGGGGAGAGTCGGGATGGCTGGAGGACCACCTGATGTGTGCTGGGCTCCATTCTGCGAGTCAGCCTGGGGCTGAGCTGAGGCCCAGGCTCATACCACCGGGTGTCCAGGCCTCCGAATGTGCTTGGGCCGCCCATGTGGGCTGCCGGGTCAGGGTAAGGCAATACTGGTACACCCAAACCGTGGCTTGTATGTCTTAGCTGTAGCTGCCCTAGACTCTGTGCCTCTTGCATAGGTAAATGCTTGGCTGGAGGGCCCTGAGGCTTGACCTTGCTGGGAGACTTGCCTGGGCGGCTCTTTGGAGTCTCCAGCTGCAGGACACCGGGGTACGGGGGAACCTGAAGGGCAGAGGGCTGCAGACTACTGGGAGGAAGAACATGAGGAGGAGGAGGCAGGGGAAGCTCCCGGTGAAGATGCAAGGGGTGGTGGGGTGGAAAGATGAAGCGTGGGTCCTCCAGGCTCGCAAAAGGGAAATCCGGCTGCTGCCAGATCTCCGGGGAGCGAGTGGAGGGGGTATGGGTCAACGGGAGGGTGCTGCCTGAGGCGGCGTAATGTTGGATCTCCCCCTCCCCCATCTCCTCTGGTATGGTGGGATGGCCAAAGGGGCCCTCGGGTAGGTAAGGGGGCGAGGACATGACTGAGCTAAGCGGGCTGGTGTCGGGCATGTAGAAGGGAGGCAGGGACTCAGACTCGCCAGGGCTTCCAAGGTAGCCATAGTATGGGCCATGCGGAAAGATTCGGTGATGCTGGGCAGCTCTGATCTGCCCTGTGGCCTGAAGCCGGCTGCTCTCCATGATAGTCATACCTTCCATGGGCCTCTGGAACCGGGGACTGTAGGCTGGGGGCTGCATGTATGACTCCTGGCTGGAGGACATGGGGGAGATCTGGTGGGGTCTGAGTGTAGCCATGACTGGGGGCATGGGCCCAGGGTCATCATTTTCCTCGTCTGACTGCCGAAATTCTGGGTACAAGTCAGACTCCTCCACAAAGGGGAAACCCTCGATGCGCCTGGGCTTGACGGAGGTCTCCATTTCAGAGGGTTCCATTACGAAGCGACCATCTGGGCCACGACTGATCAGCTCGATGGGGGTGGTGGCCTCTGCCTCATGCTTGGAGACGCTGTACTTCTTGCTGGTTATTGCTCTCTTGGTCTTCTTGTAGAGGGACAGTTCCTTCTCCTTGGCGGGACTTGGCAGCGCTTTCTTGACATGCAGGCCACGGCTTTCCTCTGAGGATTCGGAGAGGGGTCCCAAGGATCGAATACTCTCGGGACTTAGCTTCCCAGAGGAGGACCTGTGGAATGGGAAGAAGACAACAAACCAGTCATCTCCAGCACGGTCCAAGCTAAGAAACATAGATACAGTTGGCCATAGCAGGAACCCACATAAACTGATTTTAAGGGACATTTACCTTGTTTCAATTATTCAAAAGAATATGTGGAGGAACATTTCTAGAGGTAGATCACTTCTTTGTCCTTTAATACTCATTAGCAAATTGACACCAGAGAAACTCAATGTAACCTTTCAGTAATGATGTAACAGACTGTGAGATCTGCAGTGGAGGGCATTTGAGCATATTTTACTATGGGTACAGCTACTGAAATTTATGCCACTGGTAAGTGCAGCACAGTATGACAGAGACAAGGTCAAGAGCAAAAAAAAAAAAAGCTGATATCACATGACTGCAAAATTGACGCACAGAATCACGTGACCCTTAATGAATTCCGCACTGCTCTGTGGGAGTGTCACCTCTGATGCTACTGTGCAACTGCTCTGCCTGAAATGCTTGCCAAAGGCGTGTGACTGCTGTGCATTAAGGACATGAGTCACAGTCGAGTCATGTGGGTGGGCATTTGGGCAATGGGGGATAGCCATTTGTATCAGATCTCACCATGAGTCAGTGTCGCCCATGAGCCACAACAACCCTACTTATTGCAGAGTTCATAAAGCCTCCTTGAAATGTATCCTATATACTGCTATTTTATTACTCATAAGGAAACATGTTCCCTCTAAACACCTTCCTGAATAGAACAGTTGGGGATTATTGCACTTGTCTTACGACAGGCCCCGAGTTCCCAGGTCTTGTGACCCATCTTAGTGGTACTGCATCTGGTTTTCACTCGGTTTTCTGGAGATGTCACTACTCAGCCTTCCCTGGATCTCATACTCTCCTGTTGCTGCTGATTATTCATATTTCATATTTTTCATTTTATAATTTACTTTCTCTGTGACATATACTAGACCTGATCATTTAATGACTTCACATGTACATTATTGCCAGCTGTCCTACTTGCTAACAATGTTATCAGAACATAGCAGTTGTAAAAACACACAGGGGGACCGAAAAATAAAACTATACATGTAGTCTAATGCAAATTGTGAAGGACAAATTTATATAGATTTACTAATAATGGAACATTGTAAGTATCTTTGAATATGTCAACATACAGACTTAGAATGTGTTAAATTCCAAGTTGCACAGTCCTTATGAAGAAAGAACAACCAATATTTCTATGGATACAAGTGAGGCAACCATGGGTTCCTCATAATGCCAAGAGAGTATCTGTGCCAAGAGACAAGGACCAAGTAGTAGCTACCTTCCAGAAAACAAATGAGCAATCAGATGACATGTTAAACCATAACAGTTTATTGAGACCAATAAAATACAATTTATGGCTGCAAGTTTATGGGTTTTTTTGTCAATGTTTGTAGTCTTTATGGCTGCTTTGATGGGCCTTAGTGTCGAAGACAACCAGCTGTCGATAGGCAAGAATGTCCTTTCTGCTATTTAAGTCAAGCTGCAGGACGCAGTGTCCTTACTGCAATGTCTTCTTAAGGAATGAGGTACAGTGCATGACAGCATTGAGGACAGACATCATTTGCCCTCCATGGATGTAAGGTAGCGAACACACCAGAGAACAAGTAATGGACACTATCGAAATGTCATATAATACCTCAAATACACAGTACAGGTTAGTAGAACCCACAGACTGATCAAGAAAAGTCAAACTAGATCAGAAATACTTTAAAATAGCATCTAATACACACAAAAGATATAGAAGCAGCTTTTAAAAAACACCAAAATATTTTCCTTCCTTCCTTTTTTGATCAAGGAGGTATATCTCTGTTTCCAAACTATTGTTCAAGCTTTTCAATTCTACGATTAAACACATTCAGACAGTGTCATGATTGTCTGCGCACAGCACACTAGCAGAAGAATAAAATGCCTATTATCACTACGACCAACGCAAAAAATAGGGACGTCAAATTTATGCACTATAATAATAATAATAATAATAATAATAATAATACATCAGTAAGGTGTATACAATATAAGTCCTGGACACAGGAACAGAACACTAAGTAACAGAATAATTTATGTCACCAAAGGATATACTGTTAAATATGGTAAACAACGCTGAACTTCCAAGTCTTCTGATTAGTTGTCAAAAAAGAACATGAAAAATTGCCATGGCAACGAATAATGCAGAAGGTGACTGCTACTAAAGGGGCAAACGGTATCTCCTCCAACCAACAAATCCAAAATGGGAATGAAAAACAGCAAGGTTTGCAGGATGGTCGCATCAGCAAATGGCAAGTGTGGGTACGGTCAAGCACTGGTATGCAGCAGGGTGCTGGTCCCTGAGAGGCAGTGATTCTGGGGTCACTTCACAGCGAAAAATCTGGTAGAGGTACATGAGGGCATTCACAGGGCGCTTGAGCTTTTTTGCACACATGGTGGTAGGTCTTTCCTCACTTTCTCCCACTTCGTGGATCCAAATGTCCCAAGTGCAGCAAAAATTGAGACTATCTGGGGGAAGGGATAGTGCAGTTTTAACTGGAAATATCAGTGTTACGGTACACAAATGTGTGCTGCTGAAGGAAAAAATGCATTTTGTTAATTTTCAGGGTCCACTCACAACTTAGAGGCTGTCACTTATCTGTATTCCAACACTTCCTTGGTGTGATCCATGGACAATTCACATTTTAAATCGTCTTCAAGCTAACCACGTCCTGTCACAATGGCTGTGGTCTTCACTGTAGTCATTGAATTCTCATGGGATGGTTTAGACCCCAGTGTTGAGGTTTAGGTGGTTCTACTTAATTGTCTGCACCTTCAGCCACACCCAATGTTGGAAAGGTCAAAGATCCATCAGAAAGACACTATGTTGGGTTGGTTCCCCTGCACCAAAGCAACTATGTCTTCCTTCTCCATGATCCTTGAAATCGCTTGTCATCAAAAGTTGCTTTTAATCAATGTAGCTATGACAAGGTCATCAACATGACTCATTATCCAAAGCTTATGTGTGCCTACATCAGCGGGCATGAAGCTGAAATGTTGCTATGGTCAAGAAGAATGAGAGGCCCCAGCTGGATACTCAAAATGTGGGTGATCTTTGGATATGGATATACGACTAATATAGAGTGTTTCCTAAGGTAATGGATTGTCCTGGAGCAGCCTACATTTCACATGGAAGTTAAATTCACTATCTACTGCATGCTTCAGCAGTCAAGCAGGCTGGTTCTATGCATCCAGCAGTGAAGCTGGTAATGTATGGACTTTGATGTACTGGGCATTCCTACAAAGGCCAAATTAATATTAATATCTTGTGTCGCTAGATGCTTATCTGCAGAAACAGCATTAGCAGCTAAATTGTAAAGGGATTCAAAGCCAAAACAAGGGATATGTTTAGTCTTGGGCAGAGATTCATCTGTTCCGTAACCGATCTCCTCTATTTTCCCATACCGAGGTGGCAGAAGGCCAGTGGCCACACATCGGAAAGCTGCGATTTCGCTCATTTAAGTCATTAGACGGCCAATGGGAAAGTGTCTATGGCGGCGCCACCGGCGATGAAGTAGCCGCAATGATGGACTTTCCGAGCTGAGCGACGGGGAAGAGCTCAGGCTGTGGGGGGCGGCAGATGTGGAGGGAGCAGGGGAGTTGGGGGTGGGGGGGTGGGAGTTAAAAGTATAGGCGGCCTGCCATCGCCTGTGAGTGGAGCCGCAAGGGCGTTTAGCCCAGCGTGCGGCGGCCACGCCCAGCACCCGCACAAGGAGCATTGCCGCCAAAGCCAGCGCACACTGCTGAACAAGGTGCAGGCACTCACTGAGGACTGGTGGGCGGGGGCCTGTAGCTGCTGCCGTCTGGCCCCTCCCAGTAGGGCTCAATGCCAGGCAAAGGGGTAAGAGGAGTCCTGCGGCGAGAAACACAATAGAGATGGAGGAAGAGTTGATGGTCAATGAGGCTATGTGTCCTTGAAATCAACACAGCAATAGACAGAGAGAGAAAGGGAGAGAGAGAAGGAAGGAGGAAGGGAAGAAGAGCAAGAGACACAAGAAAGATATAGCCAGTGCATGTCTGAATTCTGTTTATTAGTCATAGTGCGTTATACATCATACATTTCACACATGCACGGAGGATATTATTTCATGCAGCTAGGTCAGGATAAAACTGCAATATCACTTGCCGGGTATAATGGTAGATTACCTTTGTAGCTACATGACTTTTGGTAGACATTTTTTAAACAAGTTTTTTTTTTTGATTATATATATATTCATAGCAGAAATGCTACAGTTTGCTGGAAGAGACTTTGCACCTTGTTGCTGGGGAGACCATATAATTAAAAATTAAGAAAAAAAAAAAAAAGCACGAGCACGACAGATCTGGGAGACGAAGCCGCTGCACCAAAAGGGTCCGCCATGCAAATGCACGTCACCGCTCGGCCCTGGAGGCGGGAATTCGGCATTCGGGAAAACATCAGTACGAGAACAATGGAACTTAAGGAGCGGCACTGCCGGTGTAACCGTGATGAGGAAACACCGATGGACTCGACGTTAAACGTGCCGCTCGGATTTCGGCGGGATATTTTATCGGTCGCCTGTTGGCTTTATGGATGTCTGGTTAATGTCTGCTGAATCGGTAATGCTGCATCAGGAAATTGACATACATAGCAATAAATAGCACAACTATGAAGCAAACATTCAAATCCTCTACGCTCTGCACCCGAGAAACTGGTTTCAGTGTTTTTTTTTTTTTTACAGCACCATACTGAAGTCACATTTAATACGTTTTCGAGGAGATGTAGTATTAATAAACTGACTTTCGTATCATAAAATATATCAATATAGTAATACATCGTTTTTTTTCCTAACAGTCACACCACTCAGACAATAAGTTTTGCATAACGAGAGCAATTGCTATTAACTGTGGAAAAAAACAAACAGGTTTCTATTTTTTTTCTTTTGTAAAACAATGCCAAGATAATTTGTTTCACCGTTAGATATCATTCCAGGACTGACAGTGGTTCTCCACAAAGTCACAATACTGTGTATTACAGAGCTGACCATCACAGAGTGGGATACAGATTTACATAAACCGACACATCAACTCCAAAAGTCATCAAAGGGTGAAGTTATTATAACTGGAAGAGGAAAGACACACATAAAAAGGAGTTAAGTAGGCAAATATATATATATATATATATGTATATATAAATGAAGGGATTTATATATAGCATATAATACATAAATCCCTTCAGCTTGTTTTTGTAATTGATCGCTTTTTTGGCTTTGGTTAGCAATTTAAAGCTTTGTACAACAAATTCTATTGTATCATTGTTTAAACTGTATTGTATCTTCAGCTTTGTCAGTGTACCATGGTAAAAACCAGCTGAGGTGCGTGACGGAGCCATCAAAGCAATGGGGAGAAGCCGTAGCCAAGCAAGGAGGTAGGGTCATGTTGAGTAAAGCATGCATATTTACCATGGTAAACTTGGTGGGGTTGGGGGTGGGAGACTGGACAGGTGTCCAACACGTATGTGTCCAGGAGGTTCACTGTCAGCTCTCTGGCTGAATGTACCTCCCGTCACACAGAGTTACCAGACGTCAATGTGGGCAGTCGGATGGCAACCAGTTTGCCCCACCCAACCTAAAATTACTGGGCCGTCAGCCTTGCAGTTGGGTCTGGTGTTATCTGATACGTGACCTTCTGAGCTGGATGACACAAACGAGGGATGTGCTGCACTTAACCCGGTTAAGCCCAGCTGACGGTAAGGGAGGTGGGTTACTGTTTCACGAAGCCCATGGAGACGCCGGCACGGGGACAGCATGTACCCGCGGGCGGGACCACGCGGCTTCGCGGGCCTGTCGGGCCTCAGGCAGGACACTCACGTGTACCGTCTGTGATTTGCTAGCGGGCCGCTTTTCAACCACTGGGTTTCGGTCGGGCCCTCTGCCGTCCTGAACGCAGTCGGGGGACAAATCAGAGATCGGGTGGGGTTCAGTCGGGAGGATGGACGTTCCTCCGTTTCCACTGATCTATGAGAACGCCCTCTGCTGTCTATCCAGGTAAGTTACACCGCATCACCTTCGATGTGTTTACAAACCACGGTCACATGCTACAGGTACTCCGCTGAGAAACCTGAGCCGACTATTACTACTCGGTTATGGCTTATAAGTAATCATTTGCAATGAAGTAACACTACAAGCATTACCTGTGGTTAAAAGTGTGAAAAGTAGGCAATTTCCTTAATCTCATCTGCATTTTAATATTTAACATGGTCTTCAGCAGTGGTCCTTAGCCCAGTCCACATGGACCGCCAGACAGTTCACATTTTTGCTCCCTTTCAGGTGCCTGCCAGACAGTTCACATTTTTGCTCCCTCCCAGCTCCCAGCACAGCTGTATCATGCATTCAGTGTTCTCGATTGTTTGATTCGTTCTTGATTGTTTGATTCGTTCTCGATTGTTTGATTCGTTCTCGATTGTTTGATTCGTTCTCGATTGATTGGTTTGTTATTCATTGTTTGGTACAGGTGTGGTACAGGGAGCAAAAATGTGGACTGTCTGGGGGTCTCAAGACTGAGTTGAGAAATGCTGGTCTACAGCAACCAGTGACTTCTTTGTTCAAGCCTTTTTGCAGCCATGAATGTAACCTGTCAGCATCGCTGTGGACCGCACACAAACGGGGCCAGCCTCCATGGTGTGTGCATGGTGAATGTGAGTGAGCGAGCCTGATAAATCAGCAAAAGTCCCCAAAAAGTCACACCTACCTGTGTGGGACAACACATGGTGCCGTGACAACGGACACCAGGCTATACGGTACAACAGTTGAAGCAGCGGAAAAAACTGTATGTAAGATAAGCAGAAATTGAGTCTCATATAATATATATATATAAATAGATATACAGATATATAAAAATAGATATATGAATATACCATATTCTGGCACTCTTTCGCTCCCTCTTCCCATTTCCCCATTTATACCCCTGTGTATAAATGATGTAGTAATCATTTGCCATGCACTCTTGTCAAGTGCCTTGGGGAGACTCTGTTGTGAAAGGCGCTATATAAAAATAAATTGAACTAAATTGAATTGAATATAAAAGCAGCATTGGTCTGTATATTTCCCCTTGGTTATTGATGGTTTAGGGTATAGACTCTGAACATAATGGTGTCTGGACTGAGTGTTTGGATTTGAAACAGTCAAGTGCTTAACAGCAGCTGTAACCTTGGCCTTGGGATCCATTCTCAGGAGATACTTAAAATCAGCCTTTCATGCCTCAAAGAAGCTGGTCTATTTCAACAACCTCAGCAAATCTAAACCCATCCATTCATCCATTCATCCATTTTCTGTAACCGCTTGTCCTACTCAGGGTCACGGGGGGTCTGAAGCTTATCCCAGAGGCAAGGCGGGGAACAACCCAGGCTGGGGCACCAACCCGTCGCAGAGCACACTCACACACCATTCACTCACACACTCACACCATTCACTCACACACTCACACCATTCACTCACACACTCACACCATTCACTCACACACCATTCACTCACACACCATTCACTCACACACTCACACCATTCACTCACACACCATTCACTCACACACCATTCACTCACACACTCACACCATTCACTCACACAAGCACACCTACGGGCAATTTGGTAACTCCAATTCACCTCAGCATGTTTCTGGACTGTGGGGGGACACCGGAGTACCCGGAGGAAACCCCATCAGATACGGGTGAGAAATTGCAAACTCCACACTCATCGAGCCACGGCGCAGACTAAACCCTGTTAGGCAATAGTGCTAACCAAATCTAAACCTTAATCATTAAACTCTTTTTCAAATAAACTGTGCCCCCCCCCATAAAATAACTGCCAGAAACAACTGCCCAAGAAAAGAAAAGGGTGTGATGAAAGTAATTTAGAAAACCATCGTCTATGAATTACTTTCATTTTTGTTCACAATACTGATCAGTGATTTTATAACGCCAAGGAAGCATTCGCTAATAAATACCTGTGGAAATGAGAAATTTTGGACCAAAGCATTCATCATTTTTCCACACAGCTTATCCTGGACAGTGTCCCCGTGTTTATATGTAAGATATTCAGCTCTGGGTCAGCATTCAACCAGTGAGTTGAAACGGCAAACTTATTGTGGCCAAGTTGTTAAGTTGCCTGAAACCTACTGGATTTATAAATTACAATATAGAACAGTGTTTCCCAGTCTGGTCCTCGGTGATCCACAGCCAGTCCACGTTTTACCGGGAGCTGGGAGGGAGCCCAGAGGGAGTAAAAACGTGGACCGACTGTGGGTCCCCGAGGACCGGATTGGCAAACACTGATATAAAATATTAAACTGCTTTACTCATGTGTACTATCTGACTATATTCTCTCAATCGGCATATCCACACATATAATATTTTTAAGCTTAAATCTGAACTTGGAAATGGTTTTCTAAATATTTAGGATAAACCACAGAAGCAGCCCCAATTGTGTTATGCTTCAAAATTTGGAAACAAAAAAATTGTAAGAAGAAAAAGAATAACAGCTAGGTGGTATTATGACTTTAAGGTTTGTTCCAACATAAATCATGGTGCCCAGCTGCCCAGTTGAATCCAACATTAGGAAAATTCACTTTTCACTTTATATGCATTACACTAAGCAAGTGCTAAATGTGATATAGTTTAGCTACCTATGTTGAGCAGACGTATCGCACAGCACAGTGTAGTGCATCGTCTCCCATGGATCTAAAGACATCCTCTCATTGGTCAGACTCCTGTCCCTGCATTCACCTGACATCACTGCACCTTTTTTCCTGATGAAAACAGCTGGTGCAGCTGCTTCTATTTACAAGAGCAGTGGCGCTTGCTGCCTTTGAATTCTCAGATATATATCCGCTCTTTGGGGACAAAAAAGTCAATTACAACCACCATCAGTCACAAGAACAGTTCTACTGGATGGCTGTAGGGAGGTCGACATGCCCCTGCAACCCGAATGTCCACTATGCCACCTGGTGGTTCAAGAATTCTTGATTATTAATAATTAGCTAATAAGGAACGTTTACCAGATATGACGATTAAGGTCTGAAAATGTTCAAGTGTCCTGTTTTCCTGATGTTCCCAGAATGTCCCACTACTACAACTAAGAATAGTAATATAAACGCAAACGAAGGGCACGGTACAACAGGGGGTCACACTACTGCTTTACACTTCTAAGGTCATGGGTTCAGGACTGGACGGTGTATTCGCAGTATACGCATACAGCACTTTCATAAAATTATAGTTATTGTAAAACAATATTTTTCAACATTAATTACGTTTAGAAAAATTTTCAGATAATAATGTTCCCCTGCTGACATTGACAGAACCTTCGTTAAGACATAAAATGTGGAAATAAAGTCCCATTAACATTAAGAACGTTCTCTGCCAACTCTGTGAAGACCTTTAAATAACGTTAGCTAAAGCTCTGGGAATATTTCCTGTTCGCTGGGATAGTTCCTAACATGTACTGTGCTTCGGTGTCAAGTGTAGTGCTTGAAACCAACAGTAAAGCTCAGAAAAGCATAGTATGGTGGATGGAGCAGGCCGAAAGGTGGAGGATGCGCTATCCATAAGATACAACTGGACTCCAAGCTCTAAATAAACTAACCATTCTGAAGTAGCATGGCGTCGTTTAGCCATAGGCAAACCTCCCAACATGCTAATGCTTTGTGCACGCCTCCCGTACTGGAAGTCAAAGCCATGTTTATGTAAGAACAGACCTTTAAGCTTGCAAGGAAACATTTCCATCAATACTGACGGTTTGAACCATGACTGGGGCTGAATGGCTGACCGTCATCCCATCCCGCACCGGGTTACCGGCAGCCGGTGTTGGATGTGACCACAGCAGGGGCTGGCGGATGTAGCTGTCCAGCATGGAGCACAGGGCTCCATCCCATGCCTTGGCATAGACTGAAGCATGTTTTAAAACAAACCAACAAACAAAAAAACAGCTGCTTCAGCTGGTGCTACTTACGGTGTCTCGACGCTTTTTCTGCAGTGTGTTATCGAAAGTGGGGGATCTGGCAAAGAAGACACAAGAAAACAAGAAATACACAGACAATGAGTTGTCAGTGGTTGGCTCGACCGGCGGTGAGCAAAATACGCTAGTGGGACTTTTGCTCACAGAAAAACGTTCTGAGGGTAGAACAAAAAAATTATTGGTTCAGAAAGATAACCAATCAGATTGTAGAGGAGGTAGGTTTAAGGAACCAAGACATCTTAGACCCACCTCCTCTACAATCTGATTGGTTATCTCTCTGAACCAATCATTTTTCATTCAGCACTCAGAACATATTTGTGTAAGTAAAACGCCCATGAGCACAAAATACTGCCAGGGAATTGCTGAGAATGTGCTCGCTGTAATTTAGTCTGCGACAATTAAGTCAGAGCATCTTTCAATTTTTCAGAATGTGTTTTCCCCAGGGGGTTGTCAACTTATGCAGAAGGTCCCATCCTTACTCTTCCACGAGACACATATAGAAGTGAGAATGAAGAGTGAGAGTGCAAGATCAGCCATTTATTTTCCATTATTTTGGGGATTAAGAGTTTTCCTATAGAGCCAGCAGTGACATGGTCCCTCTGCCTGCTATGAGATTTGAACCGGCGTCTTTCCAATAACGAGGCTCAACCCGCTGCATAAAAAAAAATCACTGTATGTGCTATGTGGTATTTTTTTACTCATATAATGTAATATAAAGAAAATATATATTATTTTAACGTTGAACAAAATGAGAACCAGCTCTGAATTTAACTAAATGTAACAATCGAAAAAGGACTTTGTGTGAATTTGTGTTTTCTCACGATTCATATTTGTAACAGTAATACAAGTATAAGTCTATTTTCTAGTTAGCCTGTGCATATGTATGTGTGTACGTGTACGTGTGTGTGTGTGTGTGTGTGTGTGTGTGTGCATGCACGATCGATAGGATGTTTTACAGTACAAAAAGAGTCACACAGTTGCTACGGCAGTTCCCCATTACCGACGACAGATCACACTCGGTTTGATATCTCGGCACTTAGCGACACTTACACCTGCGGTCAGATTAAAGGCGCTCAGGGAAGCACTGAGACGGTAAGACATCACTTCACACGGCCCCGTGCAGCCAGACCGGCTGGCCTTCCCTTCTGCACGCCCAGCCCCACCCGAACAGCTAGCCATTGTGCCAAGAGGACAGAAAACTCCCAGCATGCACCTTCATTCAAAGCCTGCATTTCTGCTGGGTCAGAAGGAAACACCCCAGTGGTAACTCACCCTCGATTTTGTGAACGGAAGCAACAGGGTATGCAGACTGCCCTGAACTGACACCGGAAGGACAGCTTCAAAGCAATGCATTGCAATTTCTCAATTACATAATGATTTAGCAGACGCTTTTCTCTAAAGCGACTTTTTTGTTTGTTTGTTTGTTTTTGAGGGATCAGGGTCAGACAGTCCCTAGAGCAACTGGGGGTTAAGGCCTTTGCTCAAGAGCCCAACAGTGACATCACACTGCCGACACTGGGATTTCAACTGGTGATCAAAAACAGGCACAGCGCACCAGCACCATTAACGATATGGTCAAAAATAAATATTCAATCCAAAAAAAAAAACAAACAAACAAGAAAAAGAACATAAAGACATATATACATAAAAACACACTGGTGACATAGATGTTGCAGTACTAGACTGCATTTTACTGTTTATTTTAATGGCATGTTCATCCTAGCTATGTTGTTTCTATGACCATTTAATCAGTTATCCTGTTGGGTTGCATGGCCAAAGTTCAATTGAAATGCATTCTCAGGAAGCAAAGCTAAAGCTAACAGGTAAAGAGTGAAAATGACACTATGCTGACCAGAACATTTTTTTTTTGCTGCCTGCGTGTACCGCCTATGTTTCACAGCTGATCCACAGCAGCCCCGGCGATGCACTGTTGCAGTACCCACCTCGCCGTCTCTTCAGCTTGCGCCGCCGCTGCTTGTTGACGAAACAGGCCGCCAGCGTGCTGAACAAGATGGCTGCCGCCAGGAAGCAGATGGTGGCCACGATGCCAGCCACCACGGGCCGAGCCAGGCCCTCGTCTGCCATCTCTGGGGGAGGGAAGAAGTCTGAGGAAGAGAGGTACGTGTCGAGAGTCACATGACACAAGGAACCGGTACACACAGCTGCGGGAAGGACGCTTCTCAGTGGAGTCAGGGACAGACTTCAGTTTCCAACCACCAATATTCCTAACACCGTTTGCTTGATTAGCCTAAAAATACAGTTTATTTGCTAAAGCAGATAAAAGAAGCCACTTAAAAAAATGCATTTTAATTAAATATATGTTTTAACTGTGCTTTAATTTTTTATATTGTCATTGCAAAAATTTTTATCAATGACAGAACTGATTTGCCATTCAAAGATGCAAGTTTTACTTGGCTCCAACAGGGGGCAGTAAAGTACTGAAAATTTTCAACCTTGCAGCATCTTTCAAACATCCCTGGCAATCTGCTTCAACCTGCATGCTCTCTTCTTGACTCACCAGTACTCGAAACTCCCACAACGTTACTGGGCTCGCTGATGAGGTCTTCCATAACAGCCGTCACCCTGAACTCGTACCATGAATCCTGCAGCGAAAGCAAAAAAAGCTCACCAACCACTCAAAATGATAGCAAGGGGTGTATGTGGGGGGGGGGGGTATACTGGCTCCAGCTGAAAGCTGATTGGCCATCGGAGTACCCTCTCCCCGTTACTCACTGATTCAAAACGTATCATTGGCTAATAATAAGGTTGGGCCTCAGTATGAATTAAAGCCCCTCATATGTCCCCTAGAATCCACTACAGCTCACCTGGAATGAATGGTCCATGTGTATAATATAAAAGATTTTCCTGTGTCGCTACATGCTAGCTCGGTGGCTAGCACTGTGTTCTCAGGGGCCCCCTTGTGGACTTTGCAGGAACTGCACCCTCTGTGCAAGTCCACTCCTACAGTCCAAAGACATGCGGTTCAAGAGAACAGCTGACTGTGCATTTCATGAGTGCCTCAGGTCCTGCATTTCCTGGGCGGGACTGCAGGCTAATTGTGACCCTGTACTGAACAAACAGTCAAAGACTGGGTGTCACGTTTTCTCAGTACCCCTGGGTAGGTTGCACCAGTAATTCAAAGTGTTGGCAGGCGGTGGACATGAACCAGACGCTGGACACCAGGCAGAATCCTACAGAATCAGTTCAGGCCATAAGGGACGGAATGGGACTTTTAGCTGGAAGAACGGCCAGGCAGTTCAGTAAAGTAGGTGGCACTGACACACACAACTCCTCCAGCTGGGACCATGCATGGTCATAGAGGCACTGCGCAGAGCAGGTCACTGGAGTTACAGTCATCATGTGCAGTGAAAAACAGTTTAAAGCCAAGGGCACAGGAACTGACATCATCAGGAAAACAAGGGAACACTCGGGAGCGTGGGGGGGGGGGGCATACTGGCAGAGGTTATGACCTCATGAGAAGACAGAGAGGAACACAGAGGAGCATATCATCAAGGGAAATGACCTCATGAGAAAATGTAAATGGACGACCAAGATGTGTACTGCCAGAGGAAGCGATCTCACAAGCAAAAATGAAGGAACACTCATGGGTATACTAGCAGAGGAAATGATGTCACAACAATGATGTCTCATCTGCACCGAAGCTAAACACCCATTTCAACAGATGGACGGCATTTTCCGGGACCCATCCACCAAAACAACGTGGGACAGCTGGTCCACCGGGCTCGAGCGAATGGCAGGAACATGAGAACCGATATGCACCTTCGGGCAAAAGGACAACACAGCTCACCACGCCGGCGAATCAGGAAATGGAGTCAAGCTCGAGGGAGGGCGCCGCATTCGAAATCCCAAATGGGACAATTGCTTCAACCGCTCCAGTGAAATCCAGCTGTACGCCATAAATAGGTTACAGCATTCAGCATGTGCAGAACTGCAAGTACCAGGCCCGGAATAAGGCCTCTCTCAAACGTAAATGACATAAATGATAATCTGTTTCCATGTTCACCTGTATAAGCCGTGTGTGAGTTTATGATGGATGAGGAAAACATCCCATGAAAAGTTTCCTTCAGAGATGGGACTGACTTTATGGAAAATGTGGGTCTTGGGGATTTCAACCCATTCCTAACACATTTTGAAATCTATTATGTATGACTTCATATATTTTGGCTGTAGTGGAACATATATTGTGCTATGCAGTATCGGTGTATTATATTGAATGTATGTCTTTTATCATGTCTGAGTATTATTGTACTATCTACATCGGATATTCCTGTTTGATAGCAGTAGAGATGTCCATCAGGCCAGTAACTGAAATCTTAACTTATTTTATGTAAATGCATGGTAGCTTTTCATCAGGTAATGCACCTCGTGGTCACAGAGGAAGCATAAAACTAACCACTTTGAAGTCCAACTAATACTTTCTATCCCACTTTGATCCCACTGAGCTCTCCCAAAATGGCATTTCTGACATTTAATTCTGGGAATGAAAGTTTCAGAAGCTCTTCTTCATCCTTTAGCCTTGTACTACATGGGTTCCAGCGTATTAACTAAACTTGAAAAGAATTTACCGCAAAGAGGGTCACTTTGACGAACTACAAACCAGTTAAGCGTCAACGTGTCATCATACAGAAGTCAGCTTCACATCAAACAGGCCTATACCTGTGTTTCCCAACCCAATTGTTGAGGACCCACAGACAGTCCACGTTTTTGCTCCCCACCGGGAGCTGGGAGGAAGCAAAAACGTGGACTGTCTGGCAGGGAGCTTGAAGGGAGCAAAAACCTGGACCGACTGTGGGTCCCCGAGGACTGCATTGGGAATCACTGCTTATTCAAATTGACTTGTCCGTCAAAGGAGTGTCCTTGGGGCGAAGAGAAACCCAGATGTTGTTCTTACCTGGACAAGGTCTCTCGCCAGCAGCTCTGTTTCTCCAGGTGGGATCTCACTGTCCAGGATGTCCCACCTCTCTCCCAGGCGGAACTCCATGACATACCGATCGATTGGCGACGTATGATTGGCTGGAGGGATCCATGTCAATAGGACTCCCTGTTGTGTCCGATTGGCTGTGAGGCACCTTGGTGGGGTTAGCAGCACCAGTGGTTCAGGGGTACTTATAGGAAATACTGGAGAGTAAGCAGACAGGCAGAGAAAGAGTGAGCCTTCACATCCCTGAGTAGCCCCAGTTAGAGGCATGCAACTATGAATGACTGATATGCAATTATCTTATTTTAAAGTCTTCTGGATGGTATATTGTTTTCTTGTACTATACTGGATAAGAGGTTATGGAGACTAGTTAAATACAAAGCAATGCACAGGTGAGAGTAGGGTCTGCTAGTCCCTGGAGGAATTGGGGTTATTGGGGATACTCAAGGACTAGGAGCTGAACCAGTGACCTTCTGATCACGGGTACAGAGTCCTAACCTGTGTAGCTACCCTAGTGAAGATTACTGGGCTTAATGAAGCTTAATGTTAATTGTTGTGATTACTAGTACAAGTACTGAGTATAATAAGGTGCTTACTTGCGAATATGTTGCAGACTGATTAACTCATGAGAATGTTTTGATTAAACGACTTCTTTTCTTAATTACCGATTGATTAATGTTGGATGCGATTCGACGTGTTGAACGCTACCTGTCCCCGTACCGCGGAGTCTGCCCCACCTACCTAACGTGTTCACAGTGACGACCTCGCTGAACGGGCCTGTCCCCAGTTTGTTCTGCGCCAGGACGCTGAACTGGTACGCCGTCTCGGGTTCCAGGCCCTGCACCAGCAGCCAGGTCTGAGCGACGGGCACAGGCACCGAGAGCCAATCGTGTGGCCCTAGCTGTGCTCTCTTCACCCTGTGCCATCCGGGACAGTCGGACACAAGCGCGAGAGGGGTCACTGACCGGCAGATTCACGAGGCGAGCGGGGCACCTGAGCCCCAGCAGCTAGAACCGAAACAGGGGCTGCTTTCGGCATTTGTCGCCCCCTGCTGGCACATTAAAGCTCTGTTGGGAAACTGTAATGTACAAAATTCTACTGTTTCATAGCCACTTCCCTGCAGTAAGAAGGACCCCCATGTGACAGCCGTGTTCAGGTCAGGGTCGTGACCTTTCATGTGACACTTCAAGGCATCAGTAAAACACATATTAGCATTTCCCCAGTAACACTAAAAATTAGGTTTGACTTAATGAGTTATCCAAAAGTATCAAGATAATTAAGAATAAATGATCTACAGGTCAAAAAAATCTATTAGGTTAATTCAGATTTATCATACCAAATGACTTTTACAAAGTAGTTTTGAATTTTGAAAAACTTCGAGGATTAAAATGCAGGCAAAACATTAAAATCTAGATATGTAAAGCCTGGCGATTAAAAAAAAACAAAAAAAACTTGAAGATCTGATGGTTTGGGAAAGGAAAGATTGACAGATCCGGGGAAGCTCCAGGATGCCTAAACAGCCTGGATCCGGTAGGAGCCAGACTACCTGGACGCACAGCACAATTTCCCATAATGCACACGGGCACTTTCGTAATGCTCTGCGGCACGGAACAGAAGCAGACGTGGAGGGATGGAGGGCAAAGCATGCCGCCCGGAACGGCGCAGCAGCACACGCAATGCTCGCGGACACGTTCAAAAGGGCGGTAGCTGGGCGCATGCAAACACGCTGACTGCACTGCGAGGGGCGCCATCCTGCCACCCACAGTTCATTCTGAGGTATTGCATCTTCCAGCTAAGTGCAGAAATATTAGTAGCAGCAGAATTAGTAACAGTGGTTGTAATGCGTTTTATTGATATATTTTTGAAGCACAATATATGCAGCGTTTATTCCCATTTATAAATGATTTATTTACTGTGGTATCTGCAGTCGTCTGATTGTGATCACATGCTTATACCGACATTACTGACTTTTTGAAAATACTTCAGGGCTTTTTGGGTGCTCTCGGGCAGTGCTAGGACCGTCTCGACTCGTATCCGCCTTCTATTCCGATTAGTTACTCGTGTTATGCGTGTGTTACCTGTGAGAAGAGTTGTACTAGCACCAGGGAGCACAGTAAGGGCACGGACACCCTGGCAGATTCTGGGGGCCCGGCACTTCACAGGGGGCCTTGAATTCATCAAATGAATATAAATGTGAGTCAAGGTGACAATTTGTCAGGGGACCCAGAATTTCTACATTTGCCCCCGACTGGCTCCATGCCGCAGTCAGGATACGAATGAGGATTTTTCTTCTCAAACCTTTTATCTCAAATATTTTCTGCTGCACAAGTGTTAAGTATCGCCAGTGTGCCTGGCAGTGTTCAGGCAGCCCGAGTAACGATAACGAGGAGCCGGAGCCGGAGCCGGATGGGCGATCGTGACAAATTAAAGGGTGAAGCTTACGGGACTCGTACATGCTGTACTTGTACACGCCGTTCTCCACCAAACCGTTCCACTCGACTTCTGAAGCACGGCGGACCAAAACGGCGGCGTGTCGCAAGTTAGCGCGTGACTGCCGGCAGAGCGCGCGGGGGCGCCAGCGCATTCACGTCAGGCTGTCAGAGTGGCGAGACTGGGCAGGGGCGGGCACGAGAACGCCGCGGAGGGGCACATCAGAAGCCGGCACGGCTGACAGATGGTGGGGGGGGGGGGAGGCGCCATCTGAGCGAAGCAGATGTCTGACAGCCAAAGGAAGCTCCAGACGTCCTGCCTCCCGAATGGTAGATGGGTGGCCTGATTGGTTGAGTTCTCTGTCCATCAGCCATGACCACAAGCTCCTTATTGGCTGAGTGAAGGCAATGACGTCTAATTGGCCAGGGAACATGGGTCAGGTATGGCATAAGCCCGCCTCATGCCGGCACATGCAAATTTCTCTATGAAGCACGCTGTGCGGAGGATCTACGCTAAATGCAGGGGGGGGGGGCCCTATTTTCCAGCTTCTGTGGTGGCTGAGGAGCGGAGGGGGACACCTCTATTCCTAGAGGGACACTGTGCTCACAGGGATTACCGGAGGGGCCATGGGAAAACCCCACCACCACCTATCCCCCCCCCACCACGATCCCATCATTATGCAGCTACGCCCTGGGTGATACCCCACTTAAGTAAGCAAGGGCAGCCCAGGACCCCATTAGTATTCTAAACGGGCTCGCCCTCCTTTAAAAGTCGAGCCGGTCGCTCGGCCAGGCAAAGCCCCCGGGACTGAGCGTGGGCAGTGCCGGCTCCGCTCACCGCAGGCTACACCTTAGACCAGATTAATCGAACCCTGATGTGCTGGATTGGAGGCAGCGAGGCAGGAAGGTGCAGGGCATGTTGGGATGAACCAGGCTGCCGGATAAGAGGACTGTGCTGAAGGGCCCCAAACCGTGAATGATCACCCCTGCGAGCTGTCCCGTCAGCCAACGGGGGCGGGGTCCCTCATCGTCAGCCCACCCCCAGCAAAAGCACCTCACTCACACCCCCCCAGACCAGCTTGCACACGCACGCATGGACATGCCCACAAACAGACCCACTCGTGCTCGCAGGCGTGCCCACACACACACGCGCATACACACCCTGCCTGGCTGCGTGGTCACCATGGTTACACTCCCTTCCCCAAAGTGGTCTTGTCTGAGGACACAAGGGCTGTTTTTGATATCACTCCCTATTACTGAAACAGTGCACTATACAGCATGTCTGCCATTTTGTAGCAATGCTCAGATTCTTTAAGGCAAATCCGACTCACTATGTAGTACTAATACTCCCAACGCCCGGCAAGTTACGGTGCATACAGATGATGTACACTGTGGTCCTGCATGTACCCACAATGCACTGCAAAGCTGTTATCAACTAACTATAGTGCAATCATAATACCTCATAATACTAACACAATAAAGGGCAATTTTGTTTACAAAGTATATATTTTTTTATTTTAAGAAGTATAATCATACTAGCAATCTTTCCAAAGACTGCAGCTGACATTTCAATTTTAAATAATGAAATAATTCAATTCAATAAAATACAGATTTACAATCCTATAATCACTTTATCTTCTTCATTCCCTTTGAATCGTTGCTGTATTTGCTATTCGCAAAAGTCAGTGGTTGCTAGGATACCAACGCAGAGCGTCCCAGAACATGGTGTCTGACATCATTGTCCTTTTCCATCTATATTGTGAACTGTGAACTACACAGATTTCCCTATATAGGCAATAGAGAGTGATTCAAAAGTGTGAAGGGATGTCACAGCAATACTGAAAGAGTCAGAATAAATTGGACCCCCCCCCCCAAAAAAAATAAAAAATGTTCCCGAATACCATTTGGCAGAACATCTTGAAGGGATGTTCTTAAATAAGTAAATGATGTAAATAAGGGGTGTGTGGGGGCAGAATGAGGATATTCGGTGGAATATCAAGAGAACAGGAGCAGCCAGAGACAGCCAAGCTGTGCTGAGCAAGAGGAGGAGAGCGAGGCAGCCGGTAAAGGAGGAAAAGGGAGGAGGTGTGACCCGCCACCACCCCCACTCCCATCTTCCCCAGTCCCACCCCCTAAGAGTGCCCCCTGACCTGTTATAAGAATCCCTAAATAAGAACACGCAGAAAACATGTGTGTTCTTCATTTCATATTATTGTCAGAAGGGAAGAGGGTGTGGCCTTCCTGGGAAGGAGAGTCAGGTGACTAGTTGGCTTGTGCTGATTGGTTCTTCCAGTCCCTCATTCAAGACTGAAGGTATAAAATGACATGTGCTCTGAGTTCTAGCCTCCGTAATCCTGCTGTGCCTCTGATGTACTGCTTTGGTTTATACTGTTGTCTAACACGCACTCCCAAGATTAATGTCTTGTTCATTCTCACAAAAACCACAATTTTGATTTTCAGGTCTTACTATGCGCTGCTGATCCTACCTGCCTGCCCCTAATTCCCGTAAATCGTTAACCAGGAAGCCCCCCCCGTCACCCCCCAGTGAACCTGCCCGTGCCCTATCACCAAGCCACACCAGAAATAGCTTCCTTTCTCAAAAAACAAAGCAGCTGCCGTTTTTTTCCCCATAATTACTTTCTGCCGTATATATGTGTGTCTGCATTTCGCCATCTGAGTTCCTTTACTTTGTGCGATGATAATAATGTTGAAGATAATTTAACTGAATATGATAATGTGCAAGAAAAGTGACATGGTAGCCATCATGGCTGTTACACAGCGTACAAAAAGGTGTATCTCACAAGTGTCATGAAAACCTGAAACACAACAAAGTCAACAATATATATGTCAACAGTATATATAAAATATATCAGTAGTTTCCTTCCTGCTTCCTGGTAGGCCACATGGAGTCAGGTGTGAACGCGTTAGCACAAAGCAGCTGTGATGTGTATATGCTCCCACAACATACGACGAGAGGACACAACATTGCCCTTAAATCACACAAACTCATTATTACTTTTCAGTGAAACGTTTAATGACCAGGCTAATTGCTTACAACAGAAACCCATAATTGTCTCTGTCTCTTAATAAGGTGTTTTATATACACAGTGTTTCATAACAGCTCAGTCCCGCAAGAGCTTAAACTAATTCCAGATTATACATGTCTGCCATATATAAGTTTTTCTACCACAATCATCTACTGAGATGCTGGCAGACCTCAGTGCAGCTGGGATCCCCCGGACTACGAAAGGAAGGCCGGTACCAGACCAGCATGACACACTGCAGTGCAGGAACGCAACATCCACCACATTGCTAGTGTTAGCTTCTTGCTAATCTCTGTCCCAGAGAAGGCCACCAAAATGTCTGTGCCCTGGACACTTACAGTTATATTTATTAGGGGATATACACTGATTAGAACTAGTGAAACCCTCCAAGAACGGCAAACATTGGGAAAGAATTTATGAAATAAGCGGACTTTCTAGCAGCAGAGTCAACAGAGATTTATGAAAAGGGGGTTCAATGGTGCATTCCATTTGTACCAGGGAGTCGGAATTTCCAAGTTCCTAGTCGGAGTCGAGAATGCCCCCTGAAGTCGGAGTTCTGACGTGGAAAGTCGGAGGAAACTCTACAAACCCAACTACAGAATTCAAGATGGCTGCACCCTTCATCAACAGATTATATAACAGAGCTGTAGTTGTGTACTGTTTATTTGTACTTATGTCATATTTTCTACACACAGGACTGTCCGATCTGTCTTTGGACATGTTGCTACAATGTTTGGATGCACAAAATATGCTTGTGGGAGTTTTACTTACAAAAAAATGTTCTGAAAGCAGAAAAATGATTGGCTCAGAGTCAGATTGTAGAGGACGTGGGTCCAAGCCACTACCGGAGGCAGGACCAGGACATCTGATTGGTTAGTCCTGCCTCCTCTAGTTGCTTGAACCCACCTCCTCTACAATGTGATTGGTTATCTCCCTGAACCAATAATCTTTCCTTCTGCCTTCAAAACATTTTTGTGCAAGTAGAACTCCCATGAGCATAAAATACCACGTAATGCGTTGTTGTCAACTGGTATTGCTAACAATGAACCTGGCTAGAACTGGTATTGCTAAATGGCTTTCCAACTTGTAATGGAAAGCGGTTAACTCGGGTAAAGCGTCATTTGCAGCACTGACTTCCGACTTCTGAGGTAAATGGAATGCAGCATAATCGATTAGTGGCTCCAATACTTAAACACACTAATTATGACACGGAGATCCCCCCCCCCCATTCCAAATCAAAACAGATACCAAGAACCTCTGTATGCATCCAACTCTCCCCCCGGCTTCCTACCCCAGCCAGGACTGTTACCCCTACCTAACCCTGCCATCCCCTCCTGGGTCACCACAGCCTCACATCAGCAGGACAAAGCTCAGGAAAAAAATCAAAACGGTTAGGAAAGAAGCAGAAAGCAAAGCATGCTGGGATGACTCACACATGGCCGTACCAGACTGAGAATGTCTGCTCGTATCCGCCGTCATATCCGGGTTCCCAGGAGACGTTGGCTGAGGTCGTCGAGGCTGAGACATGGACGTTGGCTGGGGCATGAGGACTTGTGCCTAGCAGGATGGGCGCACAACACGGACCACATCAACCAGAACCAATAAAGCATTCCACATAAAAGATTATACATGATTGTGCAAACCAGACACGTAATATAAATGTTACTGGATTCAGTCCTAGAAAAGCCAGAGATTATACATACAGTACTTATATATCAAGTACCTTAAAGAGCAGAGACATGTTTTACAGTACTAATTACAGCTCAGGCAAACAATTGGCAAATCTCTTGATACTTACTTACAGGGCTGTTAGATTTAGTAATAAACCTTCATGTTGATGTAAGAATATCTGTTGCTATGACTACCATGACAATTTACCCAGACCGCCAATGAAGAAATATAACCATTTCAGTGAAACCTTAGGGACCTGCAAAATTACGGTTCTATTAAATTCCAATAAGTGTACACAGAGAAGTAAAAATTTATGTCCCAAGGAATCACTTGCGATTTGTATGATATTGAGTGTTGGTGGCTGTACTCTTAAATTGGTTTCTTCAAGGCTTTGATTTTTTTCCCCCCGAAAACGGGAAGACTCTCCTATTGTTAAAAGAATAGCAGATATAATTAGATATTTATAATCGGTGGCTTCCAGAGCGTCAACACTGTCACGAGATCAACATCTCACATTCTTAAATTTATCTCCCTAGACCAGACTTGCACTCACTCATAATTAGCATGCTGGTGTGGTGCGGGGGGGCATCGTAAAGCTCCTGCAATCTGATCTCTAAGCTCCCCCCCCCGCCCCCTCTTAAAGACCCGAGAGGCGCAATTCCACCAGCCTCCACGTCACTGGAAGTCAGAGATAATGGCACCTTTCTGTTACCGTGTGATATGTGGATCTTTGACAGGGAGTTAGATTAAACGGAACCCAGAAGAGAAGATTACGGGATACCATCAGATCACGAAATCACCTCTGCCATCTCACAACTTCAAGTAGGTTTTTTTTTTATCCCCCTGAAACCATCTGGACGCGGAGATGCATTAATTACTGACATGCGATGCTCAGACACCACTACAGGGAGGCCCGTGAGAGTCAAATGCAGATAGCCTGATACAGCAGGAAAGGAAAAGCTTCACTCCAACGTTTCCGTTCCAGGAGGTGACCTTGTCACTTTATCCCAGGTCACGAAAAAAAAAAATCAGCCGGACTGTAATTCATTGATATAAAATCTTGATGTAACGACGGCTACAAACGTTTGGGGAAGCATTGTTTCCTGAAACAGTTTGGGGGAAGAGACCGAAAAAACCCAACTCCCTCCAAGAGTGTTCTGCAGTGCAAGCGCTTATTTTTCAGACGATCCACTAATCATGCCATTTTTTTTTCCGCTTACCGGCAGGAATTTCGAGGATGTTTCATTCGGCATCAGTCGTAAATTGACGCTCTATTAAGGCAGAACAGGATTCGAGAGGATGGGTTAGAACTACTGAGGTCACGGAAAGATACCCAAGGTGAGCGGAGATGGAATAGTGTCTAAATAGCAAGCAGCTGATTCAGATGTTAGTGAAAGAGCAGACGCACAGCGTGAAGGTCTTCGAGGAGTCAGACCCGGCGAATTTGGTCCTGTGAAACATCTGACCTTATGGATGGCCAAAAAGGAAAGAAACAGGAGCTCATCAAGCACATATCAGCCATTACCCTACTGTCTGGAAGGCGCTACAAGCGACTGAGAGACATCTTCATCTACACAGCCATGTCCCTGCTGAACTCAGAACACCACCAATAATATTCATCCACATCCCACAATAACATGAATTGCACACCACCCCCACTTCATACCTATTTAAACATACTATTTGTGTGTGTATTTGTTTCCATACACAGGACAGAAACTGTCATTCTTCTTATCCGCAATCATAGATCATAGATGTCATATATACCAATTATTTATACCACACCATCTGTACCATATATACCACTGTACAGGTCAGTGGCTGCTCATTCCTGCTCTTGGAGATTTACCACCCTGAGGAGCTTAGGTGCAGCCTAACACATCTGACAGATGATCAGGTCCTTCAGTAGCATCTCAGTATCAGAGCCAGCAGGTGGCAGATCTCCAGGAGCAGGAAGGAGCAGCCTTGGTAGAAATGTACATTTTCTATTTATTTATACACATGAATATATTGTACAACCGTTTGTAGCACTTATGTACTTTTGCCAGCTACCAAGCCGCATTTCTTTGGCTGAGTACTTATACTGTGCGATGGTAATAAAGTTGAACCTAATCTAATCTAAGATGGCGCCCTCATTGGCTGGACAGGCATCCCTAAATGTGTTCATGTTCACGTTTTCCAGTTAAACTCTTCCTCGCCCGGCTGAAATCGCTTGGCCCACCCTCTCGGGCCGGGTTTGGGCACGAGGCAGATGTTTGCTCGTCTGCAGATCCCACATGTCAACACCAGTCGGCCAACCTGAAAAACCGCTCTCCAAACACCACCTCCCCATCTGTCGGGTGCCAACGGCGCTGAGCACTCAGAGCTCGCCGCCGCCGCGTTGCCATGACGACCGACACTTTGACTCTCCCCACACCTCCGCGCCTCATTCCGCTCTTGATTTCACTTGTTGTGACCAGAGACGCCTCCAGTAACGACCTATACGACGCATCCTTCCGCCAACCGCATGCATCCGTCTGAAAACTGGACCGGAGCTACCTTCCGGAAACAGGGAAGATGAGAGAACGACGCCGGCCGCCGGAAGGGGCCCCTACCGATCACTAGGAGGTGCGTGCTGGCAGTGATGCTCGTGGCAACGTTGGTGGCGACACACTCCCACTCCCCGTGGTCCTCCTTGCTGAGGGATTTGAACTGTAAGCTGCCTCTTGGTAGGACGTTGTGCTTGCTTCGGCTGGGCTTCCCTACCTTGGCCGGAGAGAAGCCTCTTTAGCTGCCGCATGTTTGTATGCAGGCAAAGGTCTTTGACACCCTGGCAGGCAGTGTGTGTGTGCGTGGATTATGTATATATTACATTGTGGGGACCAAATGTCTGCCGCAATGTGATACAAACCAGTTGTTTTGATTTTGTATTTTTGTTTTGGTTATTTATGGTTAAGGGTAGGGCAGGGTAGGGGTTAAGGTTGATGGGATTAGAATTTTCCTCACGGAAATGAATAGAGAGTCCCCACAAAGATAGAAGATATAATTACAAACCTGTGTGTGTGTGTGTGTGTGTGTGTGTGTGTGTGTGTGTGAGAGAGAGAGAGGCGGGTCCCTCTTTGATCTCAAAGCCACTGCGGATCTATCTAAAGTCAACAACATGCTAATGAGAACCTTCAAGGTCTTCAGGAACACCTTTATGGTCTCAGGGCAGTCAGTAAAATATTATTATCACACAGATTCACTGTCATGCAGCATGCACTCATGTCCATAATCGCTGGAACATTAACATCATTATGGGGACCTTTGATGACAGTGCACTTAATTGTTAAAAGGCCTTAACGAATTTAGGTTGGGGGGGGGGGGGGGGGGGGCTTACCTTCCTCCATGTGATATTTGGAAAGGGGTCTCCCTCAGCCTCACATGGGATGACCAGCTCTCTCCCAGCCTCCTGCCTATATTCCCCTCCAGGGACCACCGAGAATTTGGGGGGGTCCTATGGGTCGACACGCCAGAGGGTCAGTGGTGTCACGACGACAGCATGGCGTGCGACACGGGTGCGAATGGGAGGTAGTGGAGGTACCTTTAGCACCAGGGGGGCTGGGGGGGACTGTCCCATGGTACCCAGGACGTTGTAAGGCACACAGGTGTAGGTGCCGAGAGAATCCTCTGTCACCTCCGCCACGCGAATGCTCCCATCGTCCATTTGGCTCCAGCCGGGGTACTGTTGGAGAACGGGGTGGGCAGTAAAATACCGGCAGCCAATCAGAGGCTTTCTCCCCTAACAGCCTGGCAAATCGCCGGGCAGTGTGTCACCGCAATTGCTCTGGGGACACTGACTGGCCTTGTTCTCTGATCCTCGCTTGAATGTCACTTTGGATGAAGGTGTCTGCTAAATATTTATGCTAATTTATTTAGACACTTTCACCCAAAGCGAGAAAAGAGGGCTCTGCTCAAGGGCATAATGGAGAAATCACTCTGTGACCAAAGGATTTGAACCAGCAACCTTCTGATCACGGCATCCTAACCCAGGGAGCTACACAGCACACCCTGTTAATTCAAGTGGAGTCATTCAACCAGTAAATCACTGACAACATTTGCAACATTCATGGGTTTAGAGAATGCGTATCCAAGGAAACTAATGGGTAAACAGAGTAGTGCTTCCAAGATGCCTCTCTTTTAAGGCGAATCTTCCTCTTTTGAAGGGGAACAGCGCGTAATGCAGGCCTCTGGGAACGGGCCCACGTTCTGCGTCGAGCCAAAGATCCCACACTATCTGGGTCTAGTCATATTTACATTTGTTTGGTGTTTGACACACTTCTGTCAAGATTCCCTATGATCATCCATGGCCTGCTAAGCCGGGCCATTTGTGACCCCCCTCTCGACGCCTGGCTCACCTTCTCCACCCTCAGAGGAAGCCCATCTTTCTTCCACTTGACCGACGTCACGGGTGGGTTGGCGTCCACCGGGCAGCGGATGTATCCTGGCAGTCCAATCGCAACGTAGATGACCGATGGCATGTTCACGACTCGGGCAGGGTCTGGAGGGGGGGGGGGGAGCACAACTCAGAGTGTCATTATGACCAAAGGCTGGGCCAACATTTTTTGGGGCCCTAAGTGATGTGTGATTAATCTAATTGTCCTTTGTTATCTTCCCCCCCTCATTCTAAAAGGCTGATCAGATGGGGGGGAGGGGTGGGGGTGGGTCCTCTAAGCCCTAAGTAGCCACTCATGTCACCATGATTATGACTGAGATCCTGGTTGCAGGCAACCAGCCAAGGGAAGCAGGGTAAAACTGTCAAGCCAGGTGAAGGGGAAAGAGGCCATTCTAGGATTCTGTAAGGTGGAGGATATATGAGGGGTCATATTTAATTAATTAACCAATGATATCTTTTGAATTGGTGAGTGACAGGGGAGGCGTGCACTCCAGGGGTCAATCAGCTTTCAGCTAGGGCCATGTGCCTTCTGTGGCTCCGCCTCTGTACATGCCCCTGAGCCGGAAAAAAGCTAAAGAGAAACCGTCAAAAGGTTGCCAAGAGAAAACCAAAGAGTCCCAAAACTGGGAAACGGGGTCACAAAATGAATCACGACCCTCTGGCCTTTGGTCCCCATGACATAAACTCCACAGCCGCAAAAGCATTTGACAGAGTAATCGGCCAATCATGGATAACGGGCCGTGGGCTGACTACATGCACGAGCACGACATTGGGTCGAGCCATCGGGCTGCTGGGGCTGGCCAGAGGGGGGGGCTGTCGAGTTCCAAAATCAACCACAAGCGGGCTGCAGCAGGCAGCATGGTACCCCAGAGCAGAACTCAAAATCTTTGGCAGCAAAGAGTCCTGCTTGACAGGTACATCCAGGAGGGGGGGGTCGCTCCCGGAAATGTCCTTATAAGGGTAACCCGCTGTGTGCAGTTCGGGCTCCTTTATGGTGGGGACTGCAGATCCCTGGATGGTAAGCAGGGAACCTTGTCTAGAAAGACTGGGGGGGCGACTGCTGTCTACTGTTATCCGGGGGAAGGGGGGCTAGGGACACCCATCTAGGGTTTAATTTGTGGGTTTGACATAAGGAAGGGGGGTTTCGGGGTGGAGCTGGAAGGCTTGGCACAGGCTCTGTGCTGCATAGCTGCCGCGCTTCTCCCAAGCGGGACTGGGGTGGGGGGGCAGAGGGGGGTTTCCGCAGAGCAGGGAATGACATCATCCCGTACGCGGTCCCCGGAGGGAGCCCCTCTTCAAATCAGTCAGCTTTTACCCGTGCTGCTTCTCAAAGACATCATGGATACGGTACTGAGGTTAGGGGGGGGCAGTGGAAAGGGGGGGGGGCTGCTCTTTTTCCAAACAAAAGCTTTACTTTCTGCCAGTGTCTAATGGGGGCGCCTGCAACCCTCGAATGTCGCGTCTTCGGAAGACGAGAGCCCGTTTTAATTGGGGTAATCGCACTTGACATTTCAAAGGTCACATAAAAAAAAAATAATAAAAAATCTTAATGAAAACCTGTCTTTAAATATTCATGATACTTGTACAAATGGTTGCTGGTAAAAAAATATACGTGTGTCCCATTCCTGGAAGGCTCAGCTGGGGCCAGACTGCTTGGCTCAAGGTCAGCGAGTGCACTGCACTCCCCCTGAGATGGGGGGGGGGCGATGAGGGTACTTCCTCCTCCCGGCTGTGAGGGGGAGTCACCATGGATGCATGGGCTTCGCTCCGGCGCCCAGAGACGCTGCAGCACGCGACCGGAGTCTCCCGCCACCTTCGGCAGGAAATTGGGTGCAAGATCCATTACTCTCACTTGTCTTCCTGCTTGCAGATCTCTCACTGCCAAATCACACACTCTACACAGTCACTAAGACGGCCCCAATGCAGACAGAATGAACATGCGCTGCAGTGCCCCCCCACCAAGAAAAAAAAAGTAATTTCACATGGAAAGCAGACAATTGCGTGACATATAAACACTGAAGAGCTGAGTGCGAAACTGGAGGGTAGACAGGGGCGTGGTCACACGGGCGCTGGTCCTAGCTGAAAGCTAATTGGCCCCAAAGTGTCTCCTCAGCTGTCACTCACCAATTTAAAACTTATCATTGGCTAATGATTAGGTCAGCTCCTCTGTATGAATTACAGCCCGTCTTATGCCCCCACCTTTAAAATTTCCTAGTACCACCCCTGCGGCAAAATGACACACCGACCACCAGAGTTTTAAAGGTTTAAAAATGAGATTATCCACAGAAATGTCACTGAGTTTTGCGGTAATATTTCTGCAGGTAGGGTAGCCGGCGTAGCGGAAGCCGGCGGAGCAGCGGGTGTGCGGGTCCTCACGGCGGCGACACTCACACTGCACCGTCAGGTGCGCAGATGCAGAGGGTGGCCGGCCAAGGCTGTTGCTGGGACTGCAGGTGTATTTCCCAGCATCCTCCGGTTTCACTTGGGAGATGATGAGGGAGCCGTCAATCAGAATCCTAACCCTGCGCTTCAGATCACTGGAGTGGGGTGGTGGTTGGTGGCGTTGTTTGGGAGAGGGGCAGTAGGGGGCGGAAGAGAGACAGAGCAAAAGGTTAGCAAGATGCACAGTGCCACAGAGAACTGTAAGGTATAAGCACAGCATGGAGAAATGCATGGAGGCATTGCAAGTACCATCCTCTCAAAGGTCATTCCAAGGGCACCAACCGAAAAGCGGCAATTCAAATACAATCATTTTCACAATCTGACAGAGATGCATTCTAAGGCTCAGTCCTTCTTTCTTGTGTTCAGCTACAACAAAAGGCCCTTTGTAAGCGAGGTGCCCATCGAAGGCAGCAAGAAATTGTTTTCATTTCCTCTTTTTGCCGTGCTGAATACACTGGGTCCTCAGCCAAGGTCCCCGATGAGCCTTCCACATCATCGCAGCTTCTCCGAGCATCTGACGAGGGGGGAGAAAAACCCCCTGAAAGCTTGAGGTGGTTTGATGCACACCGGGGTTTAATCGAGGGGGTGAGGACAGTATGGGTGACTCCTTCAAGCACTGGTGGCCCTTCAGAAGAATGGGAGCAGGTCCTGAGCCAGACGGAAAGATGCAGCTGCATAATACTTCACTGCACTAAAGAAAGAACAGCGGATGCAAGAATACTCCTCTGGGATTATGCAGCCTCATGACAATGACACAGGGGTGTGGGTGCAATGACTTTTTTTTTTCCCCCTAAGGTTTTAGGGGCTGGTGCATGTTGTTCTTCAGTGATACCACTAGAGGGCAGTATTGAGTTAAAAAAAAACACCCATATAATATGGGGCCCACAGCCATTCATCGGAAAGGATGTCTTGGCTGCTTAAACGCTACAGGGTTCATACAAGGTTTTGGCTAAGAACCACTCCATGACATTGTGAAAGGACAGAAATAAATGAACAAAAACATTGTATACATTGACCAGTGCTCATTAACATTTGCGATTCCTTTATCTTCTTAAGAAGAAGGATTTCATGTCTGAGTAATACTCTGGGCTGGAGCACCAGGAATGCTGGCTCAGCTTAAAACCACATTCACAGCATTCCTGCATCCGTGAGGCTAATAGCAGACCCCCTTTCTATATGGAGCAGGCACCTCCGCGGCTTTGTGGCCAGACTATCTCAAAACGGGACGGTGTGAACATCGACCATCTGCAGGTCCACAAAAACGGCTCATTCGGCATTGAGCCTGACACGGCTGCTTCAGACCCAGAGCGACTGCATCCTAACACGTTTCTATGCTGTAAGATGGCACCGGGGGGGGGTTGGTGTGTGGTGCTGGGGGAGGGCACACACGGGAACCTTTCTCCACTTGAATCTGCCGGACACGCATGAGGGACCGTATGGCCGCCGAGGGCTATGGAGGCGCGTAATCAGCGCCGACGAAGCGTGTGATGACACAAGAGCCATGCCATAAGATATTCTCGTCACGAGAGAAGAGAATTTGTATCAAGTGTGCGGAACACTGAAGGCCTGGTAGGCCTGTTATGAATTGGCCTATGGGTGCGGGGAGGGTCGAGATTTTAATCAAACAAATGCTTCCGAAGATCATGTTTTGATCATGACAAGAAGGCGTGCAGGACAAACTTCTACCATCTACTGCGATGTTCCACCTTGCAAAAACTCCTCAGAATTCCTCATCATACCGAAAGTGGACGTCGTGCAAGTCACGGCTTTCTTCATTGATTGAGCTCAGTATATCATCCAATTAAGTGCTTCCGGTTCTGGGTGGAACAAAACCCAGAGGGTTTCAAATTGGGCCTAAGTTTAAAAAAAAAAAAAAGGAAAAAAATTCTAAAGTACATGTCAAAGAGAAAATAAAGAGGAAGCAGCTTTGTTCTGTGGCGGTTTCATCATCCCATGAGGCAGTGGGGTGACCAGCCAAGTTTTTTTGTACATTTAATTGGCGGTGGAGCGGGTGGGGGGGTTGGGGGGAGGTGATGATGTGCAAAAATAAAAAAAAATGAGGCCGTTTTTTAATATGAGGCAACCTCACACAGGACCTCAGTGCCTTGCTTTTCGCATGTTCTCTGGGTCAGAGTCTGCATGCACATGAATCTGTGCCACTTGTTTATAAATAAAAGTCACCTCCACCATCCAGCAATGAGGGGGATTCCACATCCCTCTCAGCATGGGAGCTTACGCTGCTCAATCCCTTAACCTGCGCATCTCGCGGAAGAAAAAAATAGAGATCTTTGCTTGGATGCGGTAAATTCCGGTAAGTGCCCTTACTGTCACAAGTGGCAAGGCTGTTGAGAGCAGCCATAGTTTTAGAGGAGTCTCTACATCACTTCCGTAACACAAGTACATTATGTACAGAGTTATACGTCGTCGCTCCAAAAAGCTGTGCGGGGGGCAGGGGGCAGAAATCCGGGGACGAACAGAAAGGACGGCCCCGTTTCCTCACTGCAAGGTTGCCAAAATTCATTCCCCGTGATAAATTGTGATTTAAAAAAAGGCCAGCGCCTCCCCCCCTGCTGGTAAGAGCATGCTACAGCAGGCCAGCTAGTGAGCACACTGCGGTGGGAATCGAATTAATCCCGGGGAGCGCAGAGTCGGGCAGAAGCCTGCGATTGTTCAGGTCTGCCCCTGACCAGCGCTGGGACAATAAAAAAAACCAAACAAAAGAAAAGGATAATCCACGGCTGGCTGAACAGCAGCCAGACCATGTGCTCTTGGATGTGACCTTGGCCCACAAACCAAGGACGCGCTCAGGGACGGCGCTAGCAGCCCGTCGCCGTCCACGCTGTGGCCTTGCCGTTTTAGCTCCACTCTAAAAAGTGATGTCATCTTTTCATGTGAAGGGAGGGGGTGTAATATGAGCAGCCCCACTCCCCCCTTGAAGGCCAGACAAGGTCAAAAATATACCGTACAGATATGTACACGTTTTGCACAAAAGAATCGTTAATCCAATCGGGTTTGGATTAATAAATATCCAACAAACCATTTTCATAATACACACCGCATCAAAGCCAAGAGAGAACGCAGATAATACACGCGTCCACATTAACATGCAAGAGACTCTTAAACCACGCAAAGCTCGATAGCTTAGGATTAATGAGCAATAAATGATGGATGGTCTGAGGATGACAGTGAGAAATGGCACAATAATGAACCCGATCATAACTTTACTTCTTGAAGAAGACGTTATCTTTCTCCCAAAACCAGGTGTAGGTCAGGTTGCCTGGATACGCTTCTGCTTGGCAGGTGAAGAATGCATCCTGGGATATGTTGACTGTTATGTTTTCTGGTGGCGATACGATAAATGGTGGCCCTGGAAAAAAAGACAAAAAGCAAGGGTTAACAGATATGTGAGTGAATAAACGACCTAAAGCGGACTGAAGTGTTCTCTAACTTTTAGCTAGGAAATTTACGTACTGCTTGTCCTCTAACAAAAGTGAACAAATATCTCCTCCTATTAAATTATGAGTTTAAACTTTCAACATTATTATTTAATTTCACATAGAACATTAAAGCTTCACTAATAGGAAAAGCACACCTACAAAAATGAATTGTAAAAATATTAAGTTGCAGTACACTTTCTACACCACCGGGGGCAGTGGTGTCCATGGCATTCCACGGGCACCACTTTACCTCCCACCTAATGATGTCACAACGAGTTAGCTGCAGCGCTGCCATGAGAGGCATACATAGAAAGTTTACCAGGCCTGGAGTCTCCTTCACCTGGTGGAGCATATGGCTGTCTGCTAAGAAGCTACAACTTAATAACACAAATTCGGGGAAAAATAGGAACAAAAAAAATCCTGTCATTCAAAGGTCCACAGCAGCTACTAGTGCAAGATAAGGAGACTCCGAAGGGCTCTTGACGAGTGGGAGAAAAGCGAGTGTTTATTTGGCGCTGAATTGAATCTGGAAGCTGGGAGTTTATTCCGCGTTTTGTCCACAAGAAGCATGGCTCAAACTGTCCAGGTTAAGCCTCCTGGTGACATTAAGAACAGGAATTCTGCTCATGGTGTGAATGAATCCAGACTTTAGGAGAATCATTAGTAAGGTGCTGCATAAACATAGTCATAAACACAGTTAATGGACCATTCATTGGGCGCTTGCGGTCTCGCCACCCTGAATCCTGATTCATTTTGTGGTGCACTGCTGGGGTCCTGTGCAGACTGGTTAGGAGCCTGGGGCAATAGAGGCTGAAGCCCCCAGCAAATCTGAACAGGCCCCAAATGATTTGTTTCACTCAGATGTCTTAATAGCCACTCTGTCAGATCGAGAGTTCCTTATATTGCAGCAGTCCTGGTCCGGGACTGCATTTCCCAAAATCTTCGTAGTGCTACGATCCTCGTTACTTCAGAGATGCCAGGGCAGGGCAGTCAAACGAGGCTCGTAGTGCATTTCGTTGAACAGGGGAAGAAAATTTCAGTTGGGGGAGGAGGGATCAGACACGTAATTTTACTGCCTGGTTATGCCTAGTCAGGATCTAACAAATTTCGGACAGGGTTCAAACCTGTGATTTGACTATGTGGCTACATGCCTCGGGTGGATCCTTGGAGGGATTAGGTCTCTGGGCTAAGCCCCAAAAGTCTTGGGATTCTGTGAAGGCAAGCCTGCTCAAGTCTGTCACTGCTTGTCCAGTAGTCCCCAAACCCTCAGCTCTTACTCAGGTAACACAGCACAGGTGGGTACAGGTTAAAGCTCCGGAGGTGTGTGCAAATCGCAGGGTGGTAGGCGGGTGACTACCTCCGCTGACCGCTGTGTAACTTTAGCCAGATGGAGCTCCTAGCAGGAACCCAGCGGGGAAGGGGAGCATGTAAGTCTGTGATGGAGGGGTGGGAGGGGGTTCACTGTAATGGGCACTAATCAGGCGGCTGATTCCAAACCCCACCCCTTACACCGCCTCGGACTAATTAAGCATGAAATGCCATTTCGACAGGCAGTCTGGGAGTGAAGGGTGCACAGGGAGAATGGGTTCAGAGGAAGAAGCTTCTAGAAACAAGGAAGGAGTGGGAGAAATCAGAGGAGGGAGGGTGGCGAGGAGAGACGCCTCACTGTGGACCCGCTGTAGCCAATGGAAGGGCAGTATTTCCCTCATTTGGGAGTGTTATTTACCCTGAGGTAAGTTAATCACCCATTTTTTTGAAAAACAGCCATGAACTGTGCAAGGTGACCATTAGCTGGAGCCTCGCAACTGAGCTTGTTATCTGTACAGCGGCATGATCAATTCCCGAAGAGTCAGACTGCATTTAAAAAAAGGGTTAATAGTGGGTATGTGTAGGTAGGTAAGTCAGCATAATATATTGGCTGCTAGGAAGATACTACTCTGGTGCAACAAGCCTATGTAAATGCACCAGCTTTAACAAACATGCACCAATCAAACACAAATACAGCATTCAATAAATCCAAAACAATGTAGCAAAGATAATACAAAAAATATATAATGTATATAATGGTACAAAAAAAACAATAACCAGAAAACTGAAGAGTAAATTTTGTTTTAAAAAAAATGTCTATGGACTTGGAAATTTAACGAAAGTACTTCAGTGGATTACATGAGGACAGAGGGGGTTTTGTTTCCCAATTCTGTAGCATATGATGATGAAGTCTGGCAATCTCAAATACAACAAAAAACGGACAGAGTGAATTTTGGGAATTTCCTCTTTCCTCTCTATCCGGAGTCAAGTCACCAGGGGCAGGAAGCATGGCAGAGGAAGGAGACCCAAAAATGTGTCTCTGTGAGCTAAGACCATAGTGCTCCAGGAAAGGATGGGCATGAGTGTTTATAACTGGAGTGAGCTTTGCACTCATCCTTTCTTCTGCCGTCGTCCCTAGATGTTTAGGGACAGCGCAGACCCTCAGAAGCAAGAACAACTTTTTCTCAACAGTTATAGTCAACTTATTGTATATGTATATCATATATATTATATTGAATGAATGTTATTATTCACCATTCTGTTACTTGTTAACATTCGTATTAATGATTATATGTTGTTTATGTCTGAAGGATGGTAAGCAAGCAAAAATTTCATTCTTTCTTGCACTTGTACAAATGACAATAAAGTTTTCAACTATTGAATCTTTTGACCCTTTTGAATGCTTGGGGGGGTCAACCAAAGGGAAAGACAGGGGCTGGTTTATTGTTTCTGGGGCCCCACTCAAAAAGTCACTCGCCCACCCCAAATGTTCTGAAAATTAAAATCAATTGCTAACAAGTAGAGTTAGAAGATGCTAGCTAGCTAGCTGGTTATCAGAACATGCTGCTTCAGCATCTCCTAAATAAGGAACGTGTCTAATTAATATTAAGTGTAGTGCCTGTTTGTGGCCAACAGGGGCCCCCAGCAAGTGTATGGTGTAAGTGATGGTAAACACTGTCTCTGCAGATGGACATAGCCCCCAGACAGACCTCTCATTCACGTTTCTGCCCCAAGCTTGCAAATCCGTTAGCTACGGTTGTTGCGGGCTGCCCTGTCACTCTCAACATGTGTCATCTCCCTCCAACGCGACCGACCCCTGACGTCCGTACCCACAGCTGCTAGGGAAGATCCGCGTCCCCCACCCCAAGGGGAGATCCTGACTGGTGACCCGGCCCACCTCACTGTCCAAACCGCTACCCTACCCCCAGGCTCCGGCACGGCTTGTCAGCGGCCCAGTCAGTTAGCACCAACCCATAAACAATGACCGAACAAGCATGTAGAGACTACCGGGGCAAGTCACCTTGGACAAGCAGACGTGTGGTGTGGACGGCCTCTCCCTGCACGCTGTAGGCCCGGCACGTGTAGGCTCCTCGGTCCTCCCGGTTGACCGACAGCACCGTCAGGCTCCCATCGCTCACCTGTGGACCAAATAATACAAAATAAAACCATGAAAAACAGAAATGTCAGTCAAGGTCATTAAGACATCCATATGCCTTAACAATGTTGACGTTAGTTTAACGTACGTATACGTCAAAGCAGGTGTGCATGAATATTCACTCTAAACATTCTTCAGAAGAATTAGCCTTCCCCTACTCTAAATACTAACATTTTGAAACTGAAATATCCTTCATGTAGCAGGAGAAAGGCTTGCAAATGACTACCGTCCCCGCAGACAGATGTGCCGCAGAGCTCTACAGACAGACAGATGTGCCGCAGAGCCCTACAGACAGACAGATGTGCCGCAGAGCTCTACAGACAGACAGATGTGCCGCAGAGCTCTGCAGACAGACAGATGTGCCGCAGCGCTCTACAGACAGACAGATGTCCTTCCAGATTAAACCCTGGCTGGTCAAAGCTCTGATACGTCGCAAGCAAGCAAACATTTCATTGTACTTGCACTTTTGAATTGTTAACCCTTTTGAATGCATGGGGGGGGGGGTAGTAGCTGGTTAGTAGAACATGCTGCTTCAGCATCTCTTAATTAAGGAACATGTCTAATTTATATTTAGTGTAGTGCCTGTTTATGGCTACATCAATATGGGCCAACCGAGGGTCTCTGGGTGTTGCAAGTGTCCAGCTGACATCACAGCCAACCAGATACATGTGACAGCCAGAGATGGCCAATCGTGATTGGAGCTGGGTGCCGATTTTAAGCCTGCCAGCCAGTATTATCAGATTTCAGGGGCTAGGGGTTTGACGGCAGGAACAACAGGCCATTGTCTTTCTGTGCTGGACAGAATGATGCGGTATCAAACGGCAGCGTCCATCAAAGGGCTGTCCAACATCTTCCCGCATAACAATCCCTTCATTGATGACATTATACTGTACGGCGAATATCCCAGCCACTAAGCATTCCAGCTCTCAAGAGTCGCTAAGGATGACCTCAGAGAAGGGAGATGGCGGAAAAGTTAAGAGGGCAGCCAACAGAGATTCAACCAGCCTTTCTGCCACATGCTGCTCCGCGTGTTTACGCGTAAGGAACAAAGACGCCCTTGGGGCAAAAGGGCGATTGTTTACTTTGTGTTTTATACCCCAAAGCAATGCAGCTGGACATTTGCCCAAGTCCCCAACTGAGTCTCCCCTCCAGGGTCGTTCGCCCTGATAACCATGTGCCCGAACATCAGACCTGTAACGGGTTTGTCATCTTGGAACGTGAAATGACAGCACCCCAAGCACCCCGATCAAAAGCGGAGAACAGCGTTGCATTCCACAGGACCATAGCCAAAGATTCATTTTGGAGAGGGGTGTGTCCCCCTTGGTACTTTTCACCGGACAGGAGCCTGAAGCAAATTTCGAGGGGGAGGTTCAAATTTATGAGTTTAGTAACTGGCTGAGTGTCTGATAGGTACGGGGCGGCGGGGGTTGAGGTTGTTCCCGAGAAGCTCGTCTTACGCCGTCGGGGAGGATGGCGCTGGTAGACAGGTGGTAATCGGCCTGGGGGGAGCACAGAGCAGCTGCTCGCCAGCACTGCATTTTAAGCTGACGGGCGGCTGACATCCATTTAAATAATTGATTCCATTTCCGCAGCTCATCTTTCCAGTTACGGCGAGCCAGGTATGTGTAACAGCGCAGGAACCATGATCCATGGCTGTCCGGTGTGAGAGAAAAATCCAAATGTAATACCCAAATGTAACTCAAAAGTAGTAAATGTTATGTTATGTATAATCTCCTAGCAATAGAAGAATGCACTAGGCCAGTAGAAACCATGTGTTCAAGGTCGGATGATAGCATTAGGCCCTAGTCAAGAAATGGCGAGCACTGAAATACCGGAACAAACCATATATGGAAACACACAGTAGAACGCAGGGATAAAAAGAACTGTAAGAAGAGGCTCGGGGGAGAACTCCTGAGGTATCTCCCCGGGCCCGTGCTGTAAGATACCACAATAAACTGAAGGTTGAAAAGACTTTACGCTGTCCTGAGTCCTACATCGCAAAATTTCCACAACACTGGTTTTCCTGTCCTGCAAGACCCTGTTTGTATCATCAGTGAGTTACACCTCCTTAACTGGCAGGAAGAGTATTATTAGCTCAAACTGTACTTCCGAAAAACAAACCAACGGGGTTTTGCTTTCTGAGCTGCCACAAAAGTAAACTGCTTGTAATGAAAAGAAGCATGACAACGGTTTTGAGACCACGGCGATCTAGCAATTCAGCCAAACCGACTGAGGACTATGTGGTATTTTCCAAAGGTGTAACCACGGCAGGGGGGGGGGGCTTTTGTTGTTTAAATAATTCAGTCTTGCTTGGAGCGGGGGTGGGTTGCTCACAGGCAAACGAATGTCCCAGCTTGATGAGATGGACATCGGGCAGTAAGGAAGATCCCAAAAAGCTTTCAGGCTATAAAAACGGCACATTAGCACCAGGGGTGTATACAGGGGGTGGGGCCAGGTCCCCCTAAAAGCTGATTGGCCCCCAGGGTCAAAACATATCATTAGCTAGTGATAAGGTTAGCCCTTCTTTATGAATCATTGGTCATCTAATGCCCCCCACCTTAAGAAACAAATACTAGAATCACCCCTGATGTGCACAAATTGGTCCTCCGATTGATTGGCCGCTTGACACATCCCCTTGGAGTGCCCTACGCGGTATTATCGATAGACTCCCCATCCCCCCGACACTCCCACCCACAGACCCAACACTACTGTGCCCCTCCACCTCTCTGTGCCCCTCTCCCTTGCATGTGTGCGGTCCAGTGACATATGAGTGGTAATAATCTCAAGAAAGGCACTTTGGGTTGAGCAACAGTAAGCAACAGTAAAATGGGGCGTAGCATGGGCTCAATTCCTGAATGCCGCGGTGGGGGGCATTTATCCGGTGTAGTGACAGCAGATTATCACAGATTCCATAAAACAGTGGTGCTACAAGTGAGGACGAGGCGGCTGTTCGGGCAGCAGGGTGAGCTTAACGGCATAAAGGAAAAAAAAACACCGTAAACCTTTCAGCTTTGCCGGGCGGCCGGACTTTATTGGGCCTTGTAAATAGCCAGCAACGCAGCCTCGTCGATATCCCCCCGCCCCCCACCCGCGCGTACGACCAAATGAGCCTGCTCGGGAACCCGTGCCCAGACTGCTACCACAAGCACGGTGGGGGAGAAAACAGATACATGAGAAAAAAAAAACCAAGGCGGAAAGAGCACATGATTTGGTGAATCGATAACGGAGATGTGCAATGGGTAATTGAGCTGTCACTCTCCGGAAACAGAGCGCATCATCCTGTGGAAATTACCGATGGGCATGGCCCGTTTACGAAGAGCACACCCGCATTACCGATGGGCATGGCCCGTTTACGAAGAGCACACCCGCATTACTGATGGGCGTGGCCAGTTTATGAAGAGCACACTGGCATTACCGATGGGCATGGCCAGTTTACGAAGAGCACACCCGCATCACTGATGGGCGTGGCCAGTTTACGAAGCGCACACCCGCATTACTGATGGGTATGGTCCGTTTACGAACTGCCGTTTTCCCACTGTGTCCTCCTGCAACCCCCAACCCCCCCTGCTAAAGGGCTGCCCCATCCTTCCCGGTGATGTCAGTGGCCTTCCTCGCTCATCCTTTAACCTCGTTTGCCAGGAAGGGGCTGGGGGGGTAACGGATCAAGCGGCAAGCCTGCTTCCCCATGGCTCACTAACGAGCCCCCCGCTCCAAAACTTCCACACGGGCCACTTCCCGCCTTTAATTGCAGTGGTTCTGACCCGACGCCATACCCCCGTGTCCAATTTCTACCGAAGAAACACAACGACAAGCACATCCCGCCCACGTCTAATTAACAAGTGATAAATGATTCGCTGCAGAGTCGATCTTAAAGATGCCTTGCAAAAAAAAAAAAAAAGAAAAAATGTACTGGTTCAGCACTGGGAAGAGATCAATCAAAGAAACGGGCAGATCACCACAGTCCAGCAATTATTTAGATGTGCGCTAGAGAAAAAAATGTTAATTTAATCAATACATGTGAAAGTTTTCAGATTAAGCCAGGGAAGCTAGAATTGGCTGAATCATCTCTACATTCTGTCACGGAAAAAGCCCCCACACTGGGAGCCAGTGACCGCAGTGCGAGGATTACACTAACCAGGCAAATTATAAAGTCAAGTGGATACATATTTACTCATACATACCTGCTAATCTGTAGCCTGCCCAAAGCATCGGGAGATTCGCAGACAGAATCATAACTGTTATTTGCAATAAAAGTTTCCTAGGTATCCGTTTTATTATTTTAGTTGTGTAATTTCCCAGCTTTTACAGGATATAGATTGCTGTTGGGCTTGCGATCTGCATGGCTAGCAGTGTTGTCATTAATAACTGCAGTCTTTTCAGTTATGCAAATCACTTTTCTATGCTAATCACTTTAGATTGACATAATAATAATAATAATAATTATATATACATACAGTGGCAAGAAAAAGTATGTGAACCATGGTTTTCTGCATTAATTTGTCATAAAATGGCATCTGATCTTCATCTAAGTCAAAGGTATTGACAAATATAATGTGGATATAATAATATCACAAACAAATTCTGATCTTTCACTCCACCTTTTGGAGTGGCCAAGTCAGAGCCCAGACCCCAACCCAGTAGAGATGCTATGGAGCCGTACACATGAGACGTCCAAAGAATATGACAGAGCTGAAGCAGTTCTGCCAGGAAGAATGGGCCAGAATTCCTCTTAAACAGTCTGCAGGGGGGGGGTCAACTATTTAGTAATTCCAAAGGTTCACTTACTTACTTACTTACTCACTCTCAATAAAGACAGGAAAGATCTGATTATTTTTTGAGAAATTAATGCAGAAAACCATGAAATTCCAAAAGGTTCACATACTTTTACTTGCGTGTATATGTGCGTGTGCATGTGTATATATTCTGTGACCACAGTCAGGATATATAGTTAGAAGATGGATAATAATAATAATAATAATAGTAATAATATTAATAGTCTTCTTTTGTTGAAATGTGAGTAGATTATACATCTCAGATAATAACAAAAAGGAGATTGATGAACATCTTGGTGTTGACTCATGGTGACCTTGTGAGGGGGGGGCAGGGCGGGGCGGGGTAAGTACACTGCAACGACACAGAGGAACAGGAGCTTCGCAGACTGGCACAGCAGGAACGGCATCTGTAGCTAAGTACACGGTCATGTGGGGGTGGGCAGGGGGGGGGGGCGCGTCTCCTTTCCTGCATGCGTCAGTTGTGTGCTTGCAGTCATGCGGCCCTGATGTGTGAGTGCTTGCGTGTTGGATATGGGGGGGGGGTGTCTCCTCTAAAGCTACTCAGTTCAAAGGAGCCTCAGATCCACAAAGTGTCTACACCTCAGACAAGACGCGAGAAACAGAAAACCCGACTTAAACACACCTTCCCCGCTCTTCTCTGACAATTCCCTCCGGAGTCTTCCGGAGGACGATCCCAGCTGCGGCGGAGCCTGCCGCCTCTTGCGGCGTTACCTACGGGTGCGTTTGCATTTCCCCCCACCCCCCAGAACCCCAAGGATCCACAAACGAGTGGATTAACACCTCACACAGCCCCAACTACCTCTCCGAAACACCGGCTTCCGTTGTTTCCTGGCAACCAACACGTGCGATTAAGTGAATGATGCTACACTGCGACGCTGTGCACTCAGGGCTATCCCCCAAGCATTAAAAACACACACACTTGCTAATGTGTGTGAAACACATCTAATCTATGCATTACAGTTAATTAGCGAGTGACCTTTAAAGCATCCTGATCCCCGGGAATGCCTCTACGCGACTGCAAGGCTAAGAGCGTCCGGGGAACACGGTGCGTGAAAGTCAGGATCTGTGAACATTTAGTCACATGGGGCTGGATTCAAGACTATAGAATATTTACAGAGGGATGTACAGATCAGTGACGGCAGACCTACCTTGTATTTCTGACTCTCAGTGAGGAGCTCGCCCTCTCTTAGCCAGCTGACCACAGGCTTGGGGTTCCCGAAGGCAGTGCAGGTTAGGGTGATGCTGCCGTCTTCCTTGGCCTCCACATATTGCGGGGGCGTGTCCGTGAAAGTGGGCGGAGCTGTGGAAATCGGGAGACAGGGAATACAGGAAGAAGTTCAGGCATGTATCTCCTTCAGGATAAATGGGGGGAGGCCTTTTGGTGGATGCCCCCCCCCCCCATAAAATTTGGTCAATGGCGGCTTTCCACAACGTGCCATATATCTGACACTGTTCTTCACAGCCGTGGTTTGTTTTTCCGTAATCATCCATTTGTCCACTCGCACACTCGTGTTGCTGGATCAGTGTGCAGAACAAAGAGCTGTACCAGTTTGAGATGAGTGCTGGGCCGATTCTATGATTAATTTTATGAGGGGGGGTGGCATCAGACAAGCCATAATTTGTATCTGTACCAGGAACACCCCCATTATCCCCGCCCCAATGCACAAAAACCTTGTGTCCTCTTCCATAATGCATGGAATTGCAGCAGAACCAATTCTAAAATTTTATATCGTGGGCAGCAAAAGGATACCTATAACTGAAGCAAAAGGGCTAACCTTATTAATATCCAATGATATGTTTCAAATTAGCGAGTGACAGGGCAGGGGGCATCCCAAGGGCCAATCAGCTTTCAGCTTGGGCCAGTACCCCTAAGGCCACGCCCCTGGACAAGCCAGCCTGTTGTAGTGACGTGTGCATGACCTAGCAAAAAGCCCTGTCCACCAACTGACGAAGTCAGTTCAAGATTTCAGATATTTAGAAACTGCTCTAAATAGCTCAGCCGTGCTGATACGTGGCAGGAATTCTGAACACGCAAAAACGGACACTGCTGTAGTTCGTTTGGTTGCTTACATTCAAGGTTTCTGTTTTAGCTGAGAAGCACATCTTTTCTGTCTGATTCTGTCTCATAAAAGGCTAAAGGTTGTTGTTCATCCCATGGTCAGTGACGCTTGACCCCACAGGGGGTCACACTAGCTGTTCCCTGAACTGTAACACGTGTCACACTAAAGAAGGTTAAAAAAACAGACCAATCATTTCCTTATTAGGGTCTCTACAGTATCAATGCTTCATAACTGAGAGAAATACCACCATCTGGAATTTCCCAAGGTACCCCGCTGTCGTCTCCGCTCTGTGGCTAAACAGTTGGACAATTCGCCGGATTACTGGCAGAAATGCAGCATGATGTTGTGTCTTTAATGCTGCAGTCAGTGAAGTCTGGAGGGAAAAAGAATATAGTATCCCATCTTTGTGTTGAAATATTATGTTTACGATCGACAGACATCATGACAGAAGACGGCACCACACACACACACACACAGAAACACACACACACACACACACAGATTTGTAATTATATATTTGTGGGGACTTTCCATTCATTTCTATTGGGAAAAATCTAATCACAACATGACAACCGTAACCCATACCCAGCCCTAACCTTAACCATAAGTAATCAAAGACGAAACGAGACTTTTGGCATTTTTACTTTTTGATTGTAGTCACAGATCTTTGTGGGGACCCAAAAACTGGTCCCCACAACGTCAAAAAAAAAATCAGGTTTTTATCACATTGTGGGAGACATTTGATCCCCACAAAGTAAAATAAACCTAATCCACACGCATACACGCACATACTGCACCTTGACCTGTTTATGGTCAGCATGCCAGAAGGTGGTGAGGAATCCGGTTGACATTTGCCTGCCTGAGTTATTTTTTTTCTCCTACAGCAAAAGTACATGGCAGACACTGTTGAAAACCACTGTATTGTAACATTTCTTGCTCACTTTAATCCGTTATACAAACGCACACAAATGATTATACTGTTATTTTACCACGCTGCAATGATCAATATATGATAGAACACAAGAGATAACGAGGTAACAACAGAATAAGTGGAAAGGCTACGAAAGCGTGCAGCTCTGTAGTCATGTGCAGAAACTGATATTTTTATGGCACGATGCATTTCTTTATTTTCTGATATTTTTAGTTAGTTTAGTGTACATTCGAATATAATAGTGATATTACTTATCATTATCAATGTAAAATTTTTATGCTGTTATGACATGTTACAATTGTACTGGTTACTTGAATGCTGGAGACGAGAGCTTTTACCGAACATCAAACTCCGCGGTTTTGTATCTCCTCCTCCATTGTCTTGTGGCTTTTATTCGCTTTTCAGTTTTATTATTGTTTTCCGTTACTGTTGTTTGACAGTCAGTCACACTGTTGTTTGAGTTTTTGTTATTCGTTCTGAGGCAATTATGATGGGAAGAGTCCTGTATATAAACAAACTGTAATTAGCTGAATCGAACATTACATCATCAATATAAGATGGTATAATTCTTCTGTTGAATCCACCCTGATTAAAATTAGTCCCGTGTCGTCATGCAGTAGCACTGACGAAGTCCGCGCTGTATAATATTGTATGGTAAATATATCTATAGCTGTTAAATTAGCACTTAAGCACATTTGAATATTTCAATTTCACCCAAGTTTTAAGAGGGGGAAACGGTTTCATCGTCAAGAACGGCGTGATTTGTTACTCCAGGTTAACAGAAATAAATAAAAAAAAACTGTCACAGTGCTGTTTAATTACGACAGCTTTCCGCGGCAAACCGTAAAAACGCGAGCGGGGAGGATTTACAGCTGCGCTTGGAGAGAAGTTATTACCTGCCCCTCCAATTAAGGTTTGTCTTTAGCAGCTCACCAAAGGGCGCGTTCCCCCACCTCGCGGAAGGCCGCTATTAGCATAATCATCGCTCGCGCTCTCGTTTCCACGCCAACGCTCGTTTATATTCCACATCTAAATTAAATAAACAGAAAGTGATGGAGCCATTAATGAAGTCACACATGACGGCGCCTGACTGCATATTCACAGAGCTGCTCCTAGACGCGCGTGAGCGTGGGGGGGGGAGGGGAGGGGAGGGGTTGGTGACTTTGTAACACTAGTTTGCCCCAACATGGGCTTTAATCAAACCCCGGAGCACACCTGCAAAAATATGGATACCTCTATCTAGCAGTAATGAAGGGGACATCGATACACTCTGTCAAAAGCATGCAAATGAACTATACACAAATGTATGCAGATAATTATTCTGTCTCGCCAGCAAATAACAGATTTCTTCCTTCTTACCCCATGGCATCCATCTGCAACCGCCCCCCCCCAAGCTCAATACCAACCCAAAAGCATGCAAGTCAGTACCTCTTCCGGTGGTTTGTGGGGACATTATTGGCCACCATTGCAAATTCATTTCCTAGAAAGCTAACTGAACTAATTTTCATTCTGACCAGCCTGATGGCCAGCTCAGTGTCCATGCTGTCATATTCGCCCAATCGCATTGTATTGTGCACTGTAAATACCTCACTAATACTCCACTACTCTGTTGTCCATTTGCGTCCTTATCCCCATTACTCATTCTTGCTGCACTGTTTAGTCCTGCACTATCTTGTCTTTTACTGCTCTTCTTTACTTCCTTCTATGAAGGAAGGGGATTCTATTCCATGGTGCGACCATTTGCATATCTTTGTTTAAGCTGAGTGGCCAAAGCGGTGATAGAGAATCGTATTGACTCAATTTAATTCAGTGTACTTTTATATAGCGCCTTTCACAAAAGAGTTGCCTCAAGACACTTGAGAAGAGTGTGTGGCGATCCATTATTACACTGTTTATACGCAATGGTGCATGGAACAGGGAAAAAGGTGGGAGGGAGAGAAGGAGTGCCAGAAGGCAGTGGAGGAGAGGAACCAAAAACGCCCAAGTAGGGGGAAAAAAAAAACCTCAAAGGTTCAAACTCAGCTGATTGGCTAACCCCCTCTGGCATGCTAACATTATAGCAAACAGACCAAAAAGGGGCGAGGGCTAAACTGTGCTCTTAGTTGGAGTCCGTCAGTCTCGGGTGAACCCTGCAGTTTTACCATTTTAGGTTGGGATTTTAGGTTAAATTAATGGCTCTTTGTCTTAATGGGACTTAGACCTTTGTATATCATCCTAAACTCACCTGAAATGAAATACCGCACGACCATTGATAATATTCAATACTCATAACAAAAATCCCATGGCAGCAGACAGCAGTTCTCAGGTTGCATTTGGGAAATAATGCCAGATTTCTCAGATAGCATGACAGAAATGATTTTGCTTGTACCAGACATCTATAATTCAAAGATGTCAATAGTCGGGGGTCATCATAGCATCAAGACCCGACCCCAGTAACATTTAAGTAGGCCGACGGGCTGTAAGTGCACAGCGAGTGAAAACCACAGCTGTCGAGCGAGAGGGTTTGCTCATTTTTCAATCTGGCTCCACGCACCCATTTTTCATTCCAGGTTTTCAAATGCATCACCCACAGAGGTGTCACTTCGTTTGACTTATATCCATGCCAGAAACCACAGCGCCGAAAATGATATATAGGACTCTGAAAGTGGGGAGTGGGGGAAAACATTTTTTACGGACCAACGTCCAGAAGGCCGAGTGGTGCTACCTCGATAGAATGAGGAAGCAAACGCAAAAGAGCGATGTGGTTAGACTGGGAATGGGCACGTGTGGGCATCACAGGCTGCTGTAACAAGGGCTTTTGTGGGGGTTTGTGGGGATTTGCCATAGATAGCCGGCAGAGACAATGAAACAAAGCTTTATTTGTCATTTGCACAAGTATGACCACAGGTATATTAGAATGCTTCTTTTCACATACCATATATGCAGCTCTGGAAAAAAATTAAGAGACCACAGAAAATTTTCAGTTTCACTCACTTCTCAGTCTATGAGTCCGTGTAAAATTATGAACTGTCCTAGCAGTGCACTTCACACCCATAATATTTCCCATTCCTTTCGAAGGTCACTTGAGGTCATCCTCTGTTTTATGAGACACTGTCTAGTAAGTTGACAGTCATCTCTGGCATTACAATGTCGCTTCCACCCTTTACCTGGCTGGTTTCTGGTTGTTCCCAGTGCCTCCTGCTTCACATTGATTCTACACCTGCTTATCTTAGTGTACTGTCAAAAGGCAGGGAATAACCCAGGACGGGGCACCAACCCATTGCAGGGCACACTCACACCTACAACCAACCGGGCAACTCATAATCTCAG